TTAGACGGTTTAAATGCAGTAAAATATACTCATTTTATACATATATATTGATATAATATAGCACGTTTTTAACAGTATATGTATTTTAAGGGACTCATTTGCTTTTTTAGGTAGATTAGTAGAGTACACAATATTTATTGAATAGAGAAATAGAACAATCTTTTAAGAAAAGAAATGTGTTTTTGCTAAAATTAATTAAAGATTAAATTGATATACTCAAAGTTAAATTATTAAAAACGGAAAACTCTAAACAAGCAAAAAAATATTTTAAATTATTATTCATGTGTATAGTAACTTTTGAACTGAATAAAACTTAATTTACTATATAGTAAATATACTTAATTTACTATATACTATATATAAAAAATATATATATATTTATTGTTATATTTATCTGACAAGAGGTGCTAATTTAATGTATATGAACAAAAAAAAGTTGATTTGTTATAATCAAACAATACTTTTAAGCTTCATTGCATCCGCCTTCGTCTGAATACCGCATTCCACTGCTTCTACATTATTATTATTATCGGGCATAGTATTCATTACCATAGATAAGAGACGAGACCGTATATCAGCCACATTTATGCACAGATACAATTTAACGACTACATAATTTCAATAATATACTATACTAGTAGATACACAGATTAAAAATGAATTAATTGTACAAAAGATAATTATTAGTAAAGTTGTTTTTTTTATTTAATACCATAAAAAACTATACAGTACTGAAGGTGGAAACCAATTTTACAATAATAGGGATAAAACAGCATAGACATCTAGGTATTGTCTATAGTTAATGCAATTAGTATGCGCTTATAACGGTTTAAAACGTGTAATATATTTTTCTCTTGTTTATACTAATAAAACTCATGTACCAAACTGTGTTCAACAATAGTGTCTTATTCGATCATGATCTAGGAGGTTTAGAAAAACTGTTCAGTCAACCGCTTTAGGTAAGGTTACCATATTATTTGATGTCTTCGAAAAATTAGAGCGCCTTCACCCCATTGATTCGCAATAGGCGTGTTAGAAAGCGATCCATCAATTTTAGATGACCGATTGACCCAAGAATCCCATGAAAGCTAGTTAGAAATAAAAGCTAATAAGTTTGAAAGGCCTATTCAGTTGGTGGTACACCCTAGCATTAAGAGAGATCCAGTCAGCCCGGCATGGGAATTTACGGGGGGTCAACGTTTCGTACTTGTTCTCGTGGCTGGTGGGTATTATTATTGCGATAAATGTTTTTATTTTAGGGTCGAAGATCCGGTCTGGGACCGCTCGGCCGGCTGTCGCTTCAATACATCTCGTGAGATGAACATCTTGTCTTTTTACGTACTAAGTTTTTAATTTCATTACGCAATTCTAACTATTTTTGAGTTATTAGACATACAATAATAACAACCACTGCAGAGAATAAAAGAAAAGAATTCTGAAAAAAAAAACAATCAAATATATTTCTAAAATTTTGGATCATATATAAAAACTTGGTATACAATATGTCAATAATTATTTTACAACAAAATGGGTAGAGGTAAAATAAAAACTATAAAGATGTCGACTGTGAGTTTCTTACCAGTTCCAGTTAGTAAATTTCAGAGTCTTTTGTATTTTAAACAAGGCTTATAATGTCTCCTACACGAACTAAATATTTTTGAATTTCATTTTGTTTTAACATTAGAAAGATGACTTATTCACTTTACTTTCTTACCCAATTACGATTAAATTTAAAATACGTAGAATCTAATGATATACCAACATTTCGCCCAAAAACCTTTTACATCATATAATACAGAAAGAAATTTCCCCCGCTTAATCGCTGGACGTCTCACAAGCAGATCGAAGAAAAGATAATAAAAAAATATGCATCTGTACAGTGCAACTTGATTCATCCCTTTTATATCCATTGAGAATAATTCTTAACCGACGAACAATATTAAACTGAATTAAACCATAACCCAACCGGTTTGTAGCGCTGAAACCGCGCGGAGAATTTCACACTAGGTTTAAGTCTAGACTATAATGCCGCGCCTAGCCATATGCCTAGTTGTGAGAATAAATAACGGCGCTTGCACATAATTCAATTCATATTGTTAAGTTTATTCGCATTGTGTACGCACTAGAATAGGGGTAGCTATTTTTAACCCTAGACGGATGTAACTTATTTGAAATCAATGCATTATGTGCCTAGCAGATGCTATGTTCTTGCAGCTACTTATGTTGCCTAGGTTGCGTTGCTAACAATGTCTGTACACTAAAGCTCGTTAAAGTATTCCTTTTTTATATTGTTTGATACTTAGTAACTGCAGAATCAACTAAAAATGTGATTAAAATGTATGCAAAACTACCAAAGAATAAATGGACAATGGCCCCATTTTAAACGTCATTCAGTAATGTCTCGATCATTCCAAATTAGGGGTCAATAGCCTCTATTGTCATTACGAAGAACAGTACCTACTCAGTGCTTATTGTTTAGGATTATTTTTGACCTGTTCTTTTGTTGACGTAGGGTTGAAACGATTGGTGGAAGCGCGAAATGTTATTTTATATGGCCTACTTCTATTACTAGTAATTTATAGAAATAAATATTATTTTACCCATATCAAAGTGATTTTTTCCATTGTAAGTAAGTAAATAAGTAAGTACCTATTTATAGAAATAAACAGGCGGCACCTAGTTCAGTCGACAAGATTAAATAGTTAGATAGCAATTTTCTTGTAAACTTAATTTTTCTTTGTTTAAAAATCAGCTTCTAAACTTGGAATGAATCTTTGAACTTGCAACAGAGTTACTTCTTTGTTTATTTCAGTACTTTTCCTTTGTGTAAGTACGCAGGTACATTTATATACTTATAACTCAACACAGAGCTAAATGATAATAATATAAAATGATTTTTTTAATTTAACGTGAGTAAAAAAGAAAAAACTCGGCACTATTTAGTAGTAGTACTTTACTATACTTACCCTCCCTTTTAAATGTTCGCAAAATTCCAGCTTATTTTTAAAAATATATATTTAGATTTATATACTTACAGTAAATGTTTCATAAAGTACTCGATTACCTACTTAGATATCACATCTATGTGTGTTAGTTAGGAACGAACATACCATATTTTTATTCGCGTATGAATATAAGAGGCTAGTATGTCAAATATGTTGTAGTTTTTGTAATGATTTATCTACACACAAGGTTTGAATTTACAATTCGTCTAAGATCCTTGAACTAAATCATCAAAATAACGCTGACCTCGACACACATAATTCGCGATTAGACTTTTCTATTAAATCCAACAGGTGATGTTAGGGTTAATATTCATAATAGACAAGAAGGACCACGCGATACCGGTTTAGTGCCGGTTAGCTAGAACTAGAAATACCGGAATAGTTTAAGATTTTGGGATGACGTCACCATCGGAGCCCTCAATTCGACGTCAGGTAGCCGACCTACAAATCTACAGACACAATAAATTCGACAATGTGTGCGAATCACGCGGGTCAACGAACTGCTGACGTATTTAAAATACGCACTAAGTGCCTTATCGCGAATGGCGAATGTCATACGCGTCCGCGCCGAACGGAACGAGAATTCTGTACTATGTATCTTTGTAAAATGGATATTTATAGACATGATGGTCCGTGACGAACGATTCGCGCTATTTCTAAGGTCCTTGCTTGTATCGATGAATAAAATTTCTATGCATCTAAATTCGATGAAATTTCTTGTATATATAAATCCTTGTAAACCATTCAACTGTCTTCATTCTGTATTGTTCCATTCTTGAAATTCCATTTTCGATTTCGATAAAATCCCTGATTACAATGAAGATTACCTATCAATAAAAACCTCTTTGAACGACATTATTACTGGTATGACATAATAAAAAAGATATTATATTTTTTATTTCTATACAATAGTGATGTACAAAAAAAAACCGTTTGTGATTAATCGGTATTCTAATTAGATAAATTTTATTTATGTAGACAAAAATTAAAAAGATATATAATCAAAATGTAAAACGATGCATTATTTCTTTAGACGCTTAAAGCTATTGCGAGTTGCGACAGCCGGAAACTTGGGGAGTTTTACAGACGATTTTAACGCTATTGATATCAACTAAATGTGAGAAAGGAAGTGTGTCTGTCGTACGTATGCACATAACATACAAGTCTTTGTAAAGCGAATTTTGATTTGGACATTGAGCGATTTTAAACGTGCAACTGGTTGAGCGCAAGACTCATATTTGCAGTGAGAGGGTCGATTTAAAAGTTTGTCCGTACAAAGCAAGGCGCCCGCAGTAGCCGCTGTACCTATCTACCCACATACCTATGCATTTTGCGGCGGATACAGATCCAAGACTTACACATACAGCGAAGTACGAAGGCCAGTTTTATGTATGTGTCGCAAATACATACGGCTTCAAGAATCAGCAGGTGAAGCGAACTAAAGTAAGGGGTTATTGCGATTAACTCTTTTATCCCTTCGTTTCCATATCAAAGAGTAATGAACCTTGTTCCACTATTGGACCTTGTCGATTAGTAACCGTGTGATCTTTTTGGCTGAATTAAATTAATGTTAGTACTTCGTAATTATTTGTGCGTAGATAGGTTCACTATCGTTAGAAAAAGTTTCCTTTCTAATTGGTCTTTATTATAAGTAATTTTTAGTAAGGGTGTGGGTGGTGGTTACATAAAAAAAATTGTCGCTTATAGAACTACCTTCTAAAGCGGATTAATTCTTATTAGCAAACTAATTAAAAAGAACTTAGAAAGGTACAATATTTTATTCCTAATTAATTTTAATAACTCACAAATACATTAATTACATGAATGTTACGTTAAGTTAATAATAAGCTTTAACATATGTGTAACGTACTAGTGTAAATATTGGTAATGATAAAATAGTTTTCGCTATGTTTGCAGTTTTATGATAAGGACGAAATTTCGCAATAAATTGATTTAAAGTAATGAAGGTCAGATGGTTTCTGCGTGTGTGTGAATATGCAAGTATGCAAGCGAGCTCGGTGCGGCGACGCTGCTGCACGCCTGCACCGCCGGTTGCAACACCCTCCCCCCTTCACTCTCGGCTTCTCGTTCGCCAGTCGCCGCCGTCTTGCCGCTAGCCTGTCTCACCTCGCGGCCGGCAGCATTGCGCGACGCGCCGCGCTACTTCACATTCAAAATTATTCGCAACATTGCAAAAACTCTCTGTGCAATAACATAATCCGTTCACATTCTTCGATTACAAACTATTTGGAAACAGAGAGATTTTCTAAATCCAATATCAAATTTAAGTGCTTTTAAAAAGTTTGAATGCACTCCTCGTTGCATATCCCGCGCGCGTCGTTATGAGAACCCCGTAGTCGCGGTCACGTTGACGTCGCGCGGTGCCGCCATATCTGTCTCGGTCACCAACTAGCAAAATTAATAGGTAATTATTTTCGCACACAGTGTTTGGTGGTCATTTTCATCGTTAAGTTTTGAAGTGTAATAGTGAATGCAACTGTTTTTTTAATGCTGTGTTAATCCAATTGGAATCTTGTTGGAAAATAAGGCGCGCGCCGGCCGGTTCTTATCGAGTGCAATGCAGTTGCACTCCCAACTTATTGCAGTTTCACATTTGTCAAAGTTTTATGCGCGGAAAGTTACTAGTGCTCGTTATTCGACACTGGAGGATATGAAATGTGTTCTAAAGTGATTATTTGTTAAAAGTGCTGTGTGTTATTAATTTGAGAGACTAGTAATATATTCTGTTATACGGTCAATGACCGCGGAGTTTCGCATCTTCAAGTGTCATTGTTAGGGTTTTTTTTGTAAACCGATTTTTTATTTTTAGGTAAAATTTACTTTCACATCACTAAAAGAATGCAATAGTACATACATTCGTTTTTTAATTTTCGGATGGAATGAGGAGTGCTCAATCAGATTGTGTTTCTGTTTCATATGTTTGAGCATCATTTGTTTTTTTGTTTTTCGGACGGTTAGAGAGATTTCATTTTCCTCCAAAATTGCAAAAATTACAAAATAAGGTAAATATCTTTATATAATTTACACTAATTAAATAAATCGTTTTAAATCACAATATCAGTGCATTAGGTTTTCATAAGAATAAAAATATAAAAATTTGTGATTCACTTGATGAGTCACATCATCAATAGGCATGAAGAGATAGGGATTTTGAGCAAATACTTCCAAATATTTAAAATAAGTGCAATGTTGTTTAATTAATGATCTTCTAAGTGTAGTGAGTGATTAAAATAAAATAATTGTGCAGAATGGCGGAAGGCAATGGAGAAATATCTATGGAAGAGGTCCCCGGTAGGGATTCAGATGTTTGCCCGACACCAGATTACCGCAAACTCATAGAATATGGCTTAGATCCCAAGGTGAGTTTTCCTCTTCATTTTGTTTAGAATTTGTGTTGATCAGACACATATAATACATTTTAAAAATAATTAAAGTTATCATAGTTAAAACCTAAAATGTACATATACTCTATATAAGTAATAGGACATATTTTATTTCTAAAATAAGTGTCTGTTCGACTACAAAGCTCACCAGTAAAAGAAATTAATGGATTGTTTGTTCTGGATACAAAGTAAATTGCTATCTACTGGCCTAACCACTAACCCCGTTATCTTATATTTAAGGACCCTATTGTATTACGACTTAAAAGTTCAGTATTCTTATTTCATACCTTATGTTAGATTCTAATAAGAATAAGTACATAAAGGACACAATTAAATTCTTTTATATAAGTCTATAAGATTATTGATATTTTGTCTTTTTCTGTACATCAAAAAATAGTTAAATAATATTTTTACTTCAATACAATATTTATAAAACAATTTAAAAGTACATAATTAACATGCTTTAATTCTTCTAATTTTTAAAGACTAATATTATTAGAACATATAACATTTAAATTTGAGTCATTTTTTGAGTCAGGAGACTATACAGATTTATGTAACTTAATATTTATATTATTGTTCTTATATTTAGGATCCTAACAAAACCCTATATTTTGATTTATGTTGCCATACAAACTATTTGACTATACCTTGGCACCTTTAATACTGGCCAATCTTTGTTCTGATAACTTGTATGCAAATGTTATTGTAAAGTATGACCTTAAACACTAGATAATGTTCAGGTATAGTAACTTTCTCTTCAATGACCTTTGCTATCTAAAACAGGTAAATATTTATGAAAAAAAATCTAGAATATTCACTCAAGGTTAAGTTTATTTTATTAAAGTTGAAGGATTACTTTATTTTTAAATCTCAAAATACCAATTGTCTTTAATCATATAATTTTGATATGTATATAGCAGAATGTATATTTTTTTCGATTAGGTACTCTAATTCATTTTCTACCTTCTGCTAATTAACATAAGGCGCGTTATTGAAAAATAATTAGTTGTTGCTAATTGAACTTGACTCGTATCATTCGGCTGTTGAAGCCACCTCCTGTAATCACCACTTCAGATTTACGCGCGGAACTGGTTTACTGACCTTTAAGCGGCGCTTTGGTCGGCTTGAGGTATATATTCGAGTCGTACTGGCCACTGCTGATGTCACTGCTCTGCCGAAGCCCTACGAAACTTTTGGTATGGCTTCGAAAAAGCCACTTCGTGGGCGACTTAAGAATGCGCAATTTTCTTAAGAAGTGTTATATGCATTGCGTTTGAAACTGCATATGAGGTTAAGATACGCTTAGGAAGCGGAACAAGGCGTTGAATCGCTTTGTGAAGATACACATAGCCGATTTAGTGGTGGCAATAATCTTGTTAGCAAACAATAATAAACCTAGTATTTGGCTTTTGCATAAAATATTCTCTAGAGGACAGTTTTAGATGTCGGTAATGTGAATCATAAGTACACGTCACTAGATGTTATTAAAATTTAGGTGTGTACAAACGCAACAAGGTGTTGTAATTAAATATGTACCATTGGTTTCCAGGTAGCAGCCAAGCTCGACGATATTTATAAGACTGGAAAGCTAGCGCACGCAGAGTTGGACGAGCGTGCGTTAGACGCCTTAAAAGAATTTCCATCCGACGGTGCTTTAAGTGTTCTTGGACAATTTTTAGATTCAAATCTTGAGCATGTATCAAATAAAAGTGCTTATTTATGTGGAGTAATGAAAACGTATAGGTGAGTTGATTATTTAATTTTCGCACACGGCAACTCTAAAGATGTTGGATGATCGCCAAATCGCGGATTCTGTATCTGGGTCATCTTGAAAAATTGATTTGACACTTAACTCTCGTTATGCGGCAATTCGTATTGAAATTGTGCTGCCATCTAGTTTACCTCTGCTTAAATGGGAGGCTGCAGCAAACGGCCTGCTTGTTAAAATGTAATAGATGACTCGGATTAGTATAAATCTACGGGTCTTGCTTTGTTTTCGATAAAAATCTTTAATAAGAAGCAACAGTGTCATTTTCTTAAGTACATTCATAGATTAGATTGACCTCATTATGTCAAAAATTACACAATGACGGTAGGTGCGTTTAAAATTAACGCTTATTTCAAAAACTTATTATTTTACCCACGTCGAACGCATGCAAAATGTGGGACACTTTTAAATAAGTATATGCAAATATGCAAGACCTCTGATACGTCCATAATTACTTTTCGATTTACGCCATAAGATTTCAAATATAGATACAAAAATTACTATATTCTCAAGCTTACGGATAGTTCATTAGGTACTAGAGTTATATTTTTAAACTAAATTCTGCGTTGTTTGTCATTTAACTTATAAGTTACTCTAATGTATTTTTTTTTCTTTCGTGACGAAAAATCGATTTACATGTAGCGAAACTCCTATGGTAATTTAAAAATCGAAAATAATTAAAAAAAAAAATATTTCGACTCGGGCAGGACTTGAACCGGCATCGTCAGCGTTCCGTGCTGTTCCTCTACCAATTGAGCTACCGGGTCCTACATAATAACAAGTGCCGGTTCAAGTCCTGCCCGAGTCGAAATTTATTTTCGATTTTTAAATTATATAGTGCCTTCATGTGCAAATATAATAAACATGTAAAAAATAATAAAGTTTTCAAATACCATATTATATTAACTATAAAATGTTTGTGTTAATTTCAGACAGAAAAGCCGAGCGGGCGTGCAGGGCGCTCCCGCATTGGCTGCCACTGTTCAGGTGAAAGGCCCTGACGAAGAGAAAATCAAACAAATTCTCGCCCGAACCGGCTACACGTTAGACGTGACCACGGGTAGGTACACCTTCGAATCTTCCTTAAAACATTTCAGATCAAACTTCAGACATTGGAAATTCTTTAATCTTCAGACGCTGTTTAATATTCGTTTTGCCATTATACATTTTTTTAAATCAAAGTTGTCGTATAAATTATGAATAAATTTGCTCTTTATAATAATACATGTGTGACTTGAAATATAAGACGCGAAGTATAAAATTCCTTCGCGCAATGCATGTCTCGGCAAACGCGAACTCGCTTGCCGAACCAGTTTGATGCACTCGACTTGCACATCGTCTAGTCTTGCTACGACAAACATCTTTCGCACTAATTTTAATTGCCTAGATATTTCTATATCAGCTGAGTTACTAAACTCGATGAGTATTTGCAAATATAATATTAGGATGAAGCTATCTTTGACTGACATTGCTTATTAGGTTAATTTAAATAATATAAAGCATTGTTTCATTATCGAATTAGTAACAGCCTTATCTCTGACATCATTTAATTAGTTTGCCGTTGAAGGTGCAAATTACTATTACTAGCTGATTTATATATATGTATGCATCTCTATTGTCTTTAGCTTCAATTATATACACTATCTTTCATGTATTAAGTTACCCCCCTATAAACTCTTAAGTACTTATAAACTACAAAACAACTCACAATTTTACTTCTGAAACGTTTTTCCAGGGCAGCGTAAGTACGGTGGTCCACCGCCAGGGTGGGAAGGAGGCACGCCCGGCGCCGGCTGCGAAGTGTTCTGCGGCAAGATCCCTAAGGATATGTACGAAGATGAGCTTATCCCGTTATTCGAGCGCTGCGGTACCATATGGGACCTGCGACTAATGATGGATCCGATGACGGGAACCAATAGGGGGTACGCCTTCGTAACGTTCACGACGCGCGAGGCAACGCAGCGCGCGGTACAAGAGGTTGGTATTGTAGACTAGACTGCGGCTTCGGAGTTAGACGCCATTGTGGCACAACGTACCGCTTTGGTACAAGCTGATGTCAAATTGAATTGCTTAAACTTTAATACTGTGAACTGACCTCATCTCGCACCAAAACAGGTACCGAACTCCATGTCATGATCGACACCATTGTTGCTCTCGATGTTTCCTGGTATGTGCGAAGATTTGTTGACTGCGAGTTTAAATAGATACAGTAATCGAAATCTTCGCATGTATCACGGAGTGGTTTCAGCAAAAGCGCAATAAATAACAAGAAAAGTATATTGTTAAATAACATTAGCTTGCACATTAAGAAATTGATTTATCGCGCTACTGTATGAAAATGAATGTCCATAAGTTAAAAGAGGAAGCGGCTGGTAACGAATATAACGATAACTTCGCAATGTGAAATGGCTTCTATATTAACTAAAATGAATATGATCATATATTTGTTGCCTTCCGTAATAAATAATTGATGTAAAAGCACACATCTGTGTCTGGAAGAAAAACGCCCATTTGAATTGGTAACTAAATTGTGTCTAATATTACCACTGTTTGTGCAATTGGAATTTAATCTGATACAAAATTCTAATTTGACATCTACTTTGCAGGTGACTCGCCGAATGTTTAAGTATAATCTGTATCCCTTGATCACAGCACTTAGTTAATCGCGTTTTGGGAATTTTGCTCATAGTGTATTTGTTTTGTAGTCGCAGAGTCGATGACAGAAGTTGTGTATTTCAATGCCGGTGAAGCAAAAGACAATCGAACTAAATAATGAATCTTTGGTGTAATCAGCAAAATTCATAGTCGTTTCTTCAGAATAATCTGTCAACAACTTTGCCTTTTTCTATCATGGAATCATCATCATAACATTTAAAACTGTTATGTGTTTTGTTTACCGTAATTTATTACATAATTTCCATATTATTAGAAAGCTGACGTTCGGTTTCATTAGTTTGCGTATTTTATTCAATTTGTAATATGATAATTCCAACACGATCCAAGATTCCCAAAGTGCGGCGTTACTTGCAAAACTACTGTAGCCTTTAGTTTTGCAAGGCGCGCAATCATTGCCTCAAAGTGTATACACAGTCTCATCTGGGAGAAAATAGATTTAAGCTTATAATCATTTAATAAAAAGCATGAATGTTCCCTCATAACGATCACGCCCATTGAAACGCCGTAAATCCTTTGAAGTGTCTCTTAATAAAGCTATCTACTTTGAGATGCGCGTGGTCGTCGCATAGTAACTGTATAATCACTGATTGTGTACATGTGCAATGATAACACCCGTAATCTGATCTAGCCTCGCTTCTCCCGAGATATCATCCCGTTCTTACTATTGCACCTCGTTCAATTTTAAGTTGCTTTCATTTTATTTTTTGTTACATCACACTTTTTACTTGCTTCTTTTTATTTTCACTTCATCAACCGGTCCACTTACAGGGTTAACTTTCAATTGGCTTCAAAAGTTCTCTCCAGCTGAGAGTTTAATATGACTCAGGCTCTCCTCTTTGCTCCGTTACACTTTCGGCTTCGATCATCAAAAGTACAGTTAACTCATCACGATTGGCTCTAACCGACTCATCTCACGCCTCGCGCTCGCGATTTCGCAAAATTCATCCACCATTCTATTACTCGATACATTGATCCACCGATCCATCGACGGTTCTCCGAGCGCCTCCGGCGAGCGTCACGCCGACCCGAAACGCGCTCGCTCGCGACCGACGTTTCCAAATTGATATCCACTTTTCAAAATTGTTCCCTTGTTATTTTCCCACAGCTCGATAATCACGAAATAAAACCAGGGAAGACTCTGAGAATTAAGATTAGCGTACCGAATCTTCGACTTTTCGTCGGCAACATTCCCAAGTCTAAAGGCAAAGAGGAGATACTGGAAGAGTTTGGTAAATTAACAGGTAAAGTGTCAATCGAATGAATTAAAGAGTTTAGTTGTTGGGTTGAGTGCGTGGGGCTTGGTGTGGACCGCTGAGGGTGCCCCGCTTGCGTTCCCGCTTATCCTGCCCGCCCGCCTTACTCCACCCCCGCTCTGCCCCAAACCTGCCCTGCCCCGCCCGGCGCGCCCGCTGTGCCCCGCTGTGCCTCTCCAGTCGCGGGGCCCGGCCGAGCCGAGCCGGCCCCGGCCATTGGCTATTCTCCCTCGAATTGTTCTTACAGCTGAATGATTATGAAATTCGAAAGGGGAAAAAGATTGGCGTTACGGTTTCCTTTAACAATCATCGTTTATTCGTGGGGAATATCCCTAAGAATCGAGGTCGGGACGATTTGTTTGAGGAGCTTACTAGGCACGCACGTAAGTCCTGTCGAATTCATAATAAGCGCTAAGAACCGTCGGGCGCGTCTTGGCTCGAAGGGAGCCTTCGCGCTAGGACCGCGCCCGGCCGTTCAGGTAGTAGATTGCATTAAATTCTAATAGACGGTGTCGCAAAAAGTGGCACCGTCGGCGGCGGCCAGTCGAGGCGGCGTCGCCTATTGAAGGACTCCGATTGTCCTTTGACGGAGTAAGTGCGCGTAACGTGTGCCGCGGTGGGGGAGTCGTTCGCTTGGCGACAGCCCGCTGGCCGCCGCCGGCGTCGCCGCCGTTTGCGCCATGGAAGACAATTGGCCTCAACCTCGAGAAAGCTCACTGGTAATGACTGGAGAATCTCGCTGTTGTTCTCTAGACTTCTTCAGTATATGTTCTCCTAAAATATGGTTTGATTTGCTTCATATTTCGTAGCCTTTGATGTTTGATAAGCAAAAGGTTGAAGGGAGCTTTGTAATTTTAATTTGCCCCTCGCTACCCTTCCAAGCTGTTTATTTGCATTGTATGTTTGCAGCCGGACTGGTAGAAGTGATAATTTATAGTTCGCCCGATGACAAGAAGAAAAATAGAGGATTTTGTTTTCTCGAATACGAGTCTCACAAAGCTGCGTCGTTGGCTAAGCGTCGACTTGGAACCGGTAGAATAAAGGTGACCTCGCTTTACGCATGTAACACGTTTTTTAAGCAATGTAAAGTGTTTCCAAAGTGAGACAAATAAAAAACGCTTAAATTGACTTATAGTGGACTTATGTGTATAGGTATGGGGCTGTGATATTATAGTGGATTGGGCCGACCCACAAGAGGAACCCGATGAGCAGACTATGAGCAAAGTAAGTCGATATAAATAAGCTTAAAACAAATTGTCCAATTCAAATATTTGTTGTCTATTGTTTGCTATTTAATCGCGGTCTTTAAAACTATGTGATTTCACAGGTGAAGGTGTTATATGTAAGGAACTTAACTCAAGAAATCACAGAAGAGGCGCTGAAAGAAGAATTTGAACGTTATGGAACCGTTGAACGAGTGAAGAAGATTAAGGATTACGCTTTTGTGCACTTCGAGGATCGAGATTGCGCTGTTAAGGTGAGAGACATTTTTGTCGTCTATCGTGTACAGCAGTTCTGTTTTAATAATGTGCGTCCTAATTGAGTTTATAAATAGTAGAAAAAGTGTATTCATCGATAGTATCTATCCGTGATTACATAGTATTTCCTATGAGACTCCCATATTAGACAAAGTATTTAATAAATATTTCAACACATTATCCTTCAGGCAATGCAAGAGTTAGACGGCAAGGATATGGGTGGAGCGCGGCTGGAGGTGTCGCTGGCGAAGCCTCCGTCTGATAAGAAGAAGAAGGAAGAGATACTCCGTGCCCGTGAACGTCGTATGACGCAAATGATATACGGACGGGGCGGGTCAGTGCTCACTTCTCATTTTACCGTATTTAGAGAACAATAAAATGCAATACGAGTTACTGTCTTAGATGCGTATCGCCGCTTACATATTATTTCCGATTCAAGTAGTTCATAACGGCCTTATCAGATTGTATTTGTTGTTCAATGAATCCATAGAACTGTATAACCGTCGGCGACACGCAACCCAATGCGGCAGAGTAGCGTTGTGTAACGTGTCGTTGTGTAATGTCAGATTTGATTGGTGCAGCTGCTCGCCAGTCCACGGCGCGCTGCGCGGACGCACGCCACAGCCCACGCCGCGCCCGCCGCAGGCCCGAGGCGACTACGGTTAGTGGAGCACGAAACAAACCTTACACGCACCCGACACATTTGTGAAAGTGTTGTATGAATTATATTCACGTTGCAGTTTGCTTTAATACATACGACTACTGTCATTCACGACTCATAGAAAATGTGGACTCCTCCCATACGGCCTAATACTTATCTGTCCCTCGAAGACACAAAAAATCGACCAATGGGAGCTCGCCGGATCGCTCAAATGCAGTATGCATAATATATGCATTGTCAATGTGTGGGGCGAGCCACTGCAACGGTGCATATAATTCGGCTATATATACCAAAGTTGTAGGGTTCTGTACACATTCATTCGACGTAATATTATGCATACGCTATAGAATGATTTTCATATTTGAATCTAGAGCGTTGTGAATTTTAGTTTTAAGCAATACTATAACTTCGGCTTAATGTAACTTTCTATATTTCTCTAGCGATTGTATCAATTCACACATTGGTGAACGTCCTCGAAAACTATTTCTTGAAATTTTATTTCAAACTTTCGTGACCTTAAAGGATTTCGAAATATTTTATTCTGTTTTTACTTTTCGAAGACGCTTACGAGAAAACACAAAAAACATACATACATATATCAGCCAATTTATAATTATCAACCAGTAAACGGAACAGAACTTTTCTCATTTATCTATAGAATTTTATTAAATTAAATATATTTTAGTTCATTGAATAATATTTAAAATGTATGTGTCTAGAAAAAGTCCTGTTCTACAACCGGTTCGCTGCAAATAGAGGGTAGGTTTACTTTGGTTCATGTTAAATACGATTAAACCCACAGCTGTTGTTTACAAGAATTCACTCACAGGAAGTCCCATACGACAGGTGTGAAATCATAAACGGGATCCCTTATATATAAACGTGCAGCTGTGACCTAGATGCTTTTACATCGAAAGTTAATTATTTTCTATTGCAATTTTAAGGGTCTACCCTCTATTCGCACCGAATGTGAAGCTCTCGGGTGAAGAGGAGAAATAGGGAAACATGTCTTCTTCATCCAGTAATTCATTTTGTAACAACCTATACTTACACGGTGTGGTTACGCGCACACTTGCAATTCGCTATATGTCCCCTACTAACCACGTTTAGAGCATATACCCTCGACGCCACGATTATATAAGTCTAGCCTAATTAAGGGTACATTCTCTAAACCTACATGACTCTTCGCTAAATAGGCTAGTAATAAGTGCTAGGATTAGGTTCTTGCATGGTGTCGGAGTAAATTGGTAGACGAATCTTACGAGAGTGCCGCAAGGAAGACGGGCCCACATCGCTCCAATGTAATAACAACCTTAACACAGTTGCATGCTTACATTAAAACGACCCTCCGGCCGATGTGTTTGAATCTAATGGACCATTATGTTTACATCGCTTTCAGTCTAGGTTTGTGGTGGTGGGATCGACAAACTTGGATGCGATCTCCATTCGGTTTATAGATTTGACGATGCATGTTGTTTTCGTGTTCCGTTTACGATTGAGGCGTTGAGGTGTGTCGCTATGGAAGCCGGAGACGTTTGAGCCCGTGCGAGTCGTACGTATGTACCGAGCGGCGAGTCGGCCGCGGCCCATCGGTAGCTTGTAAGTTAGCGTTAGTTTAGCTTAGCCTCTAAAAGGCCTTGTGTTGTGTGTTTATAGATTATGATTACGACTATTACGGGTACGGGGATTACCGAGGTGGCTACAATGAGCCATTTTACCGGTACGATGAGTTCTATTTTGATTACGCGGGGCCACCACAACCGTCCGCCGTCCGCCAGCCTCCCAACAGAGCGCAACCGGTGGGTCCCACACACACTAACTAATATATTATTTTACTAGTCACTAGACGCTGTACTCATCATCCGTTTCGGTTGTTTTATTTGCAAAATTTTTGTATCATCTATATCTTCTTCACTTTTGTTTTTTTTGTTGATCCCATCCTAGAATGGAGTCAGTGACTCGGTAAAGACGGTAGTGTGTAGGCCTGACGGTGGTGATCGAACTTGGCGACGGTGCGCGGTGCGGCTCACCGCATTGCGCGCACGCACTGATAGAGCGTTCGCGAGAATGGCTTTTGCACATCCTTGCCAATGCTCGCGGTGTGGCGCGAAATGTGCTCGAGTCGGCACCACGAAATAGTCCACGACGCGGTCGTTACGTAAGCCGGGCAAGGAGTTTGCCGGAGTGGCAACGGCCGGTCGCACCATCAGGTCTGCACGGCTGACGCCACTCCGACTCGAGGCTAACGCATATCCTATCGGTTCCGACTTAAGTTCAAGTTAGGCTATTTTTATCAGCTTCAATAAAAAACTTATTGGGAAATGGTCGGCATGATGCGATGGCCTCGACTTTCCCGCCTTAAGCACACCTTTCGGTTGCCATTAGACATTTCGCCTCGCTTATCATCATCCAGCGCTTTATCCCTATGTAGCGCTCCGCCCCGCTTTGTTACTAACCCGTTAACACGCTCGGAGCTTGGCCCCCCGCAACCCCTGAATGTCGAGATTGAAATGCTCGAGTAGACGAATTTATCGAAGATATTGACACGCTTGGTAACCTCAGGACGACGATGCCGCTATCGGCCACGACACGCTTTACTACGATATAGCCGGAGACACTCAGGTACCGAAGGACGTATCAACTTATATCGATGTCTGTATCGGGTGTGAGTCGAGATGATGAACGCTCAACTTAAGTCTGTCATTTCCTAGTCAACGTTTGCTAAATTCAGTGAAAACCCGTTTGGGGAAGATTTTCAAACAACACTTATAACGCCGCATTATGCCCGTTCAAAAGAACAGGTTTTGAGCTTAGATTCATCTTAATTCACACGGATAGTTAGTGTGTAGAGCTTGTAGGTACCTGATTGTTTCTTTAGTTGCGAAGTTCAAAGCGATTCGACGATTGCATGACAAGTAATGACATGGCACATTCTTACATTTTGCTTCTTTTATATTCGTTTGAGTAAAATGGAGAATGTTGCGATACACGTGGTATAGTTTAGTCGAACGATAGCAGTATATATATAGATTTAGGATATTATATAGGAAATGACGCTGCATGGCGTAATAGTGTAAACGACAATGTCCACAGTTACCAAATTAGTTGTAATATGTAGTTAGCTTCCTCTTAAGTTGGCAGCTGTGGATGTTTGCTTTGCTCGCAAACCACATCCCACTCGGCCTATTTTCACGTTATCACGCGCAACTGTCTTGTGATAAAAACACGTGCACTGTATACTAATATAGTGTACATTGGTAACTATTTTATACGACCATTTTTATTTAAACTTATGTTACAAACGTCTTAGTTATACCGATTTCTAAAATGGAAATTGCGTCGAAAAGAAATAAAATTAGTAAAAGTATGTAAAGAAGCCCTTTTTATTGACTTTGTTGGTATCTAGTCACGAGTAACAATGCACCCGTAGTGCTATCTTCCGGCGGTGTCTTACAAAATGTTGTGATATTTACACGGTATCAGTCTAATTATTTAATTTATTGACTTAAGTTCTATACTTTGTAAATAGACGTTATCACTATTGGCGACAGTTGCGCGGGGTTATCGCGGTGGGGTGTTATCGGGCAGTGAATTAAGTGATGATGATGTGTGCAGACGGCTGGGTCATGTGGGACGGGCGCGCGTTGGGCGCGGCGCGGGGGCGCGGCTGGGGTCCGTGGTGGTGCGCGACGCGCCGCTCGTGGCCGCCGCACGCCCAGCGCCATGCGTGGCAACCCGCGCGCCAAGCCAAGTTTACCAGGTAACTTTCTGCATTACCAATATCTAGACTACCTTTTACCAATTGATGAATGCAATGAGACATCAGAAGTGGGATTGAATCCGTCTTGTGGTCCGATTAGCACATGAAGCGCAATCCTCGTTATTATAAATAAAACTTGAGAATTTTATTTTCCATTATCGACCATAAACAGCCTACTATACGATTACGAATATGGTAATATTAAAAACGTTCAGTTACTAATAAAATTTTAAATTATCCTTAAATCAATCCTTTGAATTGAGACCCTACTAAATACGATAGCCTTATTTGCCATAATTATAATAATTATTTTTATATCCCATAGGATATAAAAATATTTATTATAATACGTCCTACATTCTATTTTACTTTTTGTAAGACTTACGCATTCCTTTCAGCGTGTCTGATGGTTTGCGTGTAATCTGGACTGTGCTTTGTATATTGGTAATTACCTTTCCCTTCCTCACCCTTTCCTTTAACCTAAATAGTAGCGTGTACTTTAGCTTAGCCATATTAAACGTAGGATAGTATAAACCTTCAGTAGCATTCTTAAGTAAAGGGTGCAGGTAAATTAACCCAACTTACGATTAGTAACATAAGAATGCTACTGAAGGCATGGGATTATATTTTCTTTGACAAAATGTCAATTCTTCTTTGAACATCTAAATATTGAACGTTGAATAAAATAACACTTATTTCCAAGAAGCGCCTTGCATTAAATTGACTTTAGTAGGTTGGCTAGGTTTGGTTTATAATTTTTATAAAGTCTTAAACATTTAATTTGTTTTTGCAAATGAGTGCCATTCCAATAAATGAACTTCATATTATTCATTCTGAGTGATGCGGATCTTTTCTGTGTCTCAGGTAAACGTAAATTCGATGGGGGTCACCAGAACAATGGGGGGGAGAGCAAGCGTCGGGTGGGCGCGGGCGGCGCGGCGTGCGGGTGGGAGGGCAGCGCCGGCAGCGCGAGCGGCAGCAGCTAGCGGGCGCGCGCAGCTCCCGTCGTCCCGCTTCCGCCCCGCCCGCCACGCGTCCCGCGCCCCGCGCGCGCCCGCGAGCCCCTGTCCCGGAGACACGACAAACTGCGCAGGGGAGCGCCTCGCGGGCGCACCGAATGCCGACCGCGCCGAACCCCCCGATTCTAAACGCACGGAGGGCCGTTCCACTTTTTCTATATATCGTGTTTTTTATTTGATTTTCACGTTTTCGATTTTGTATCGCGACGATTCCGTAAAAATCTTAAAGTAGGACGTTATGAAATGTTTCGAATGTAAGTTTCCCGTTATGCTTATGTTTTCGTCGTCGTATTAGCCGTATATATTTAATATATACTTTTATTTTTTTTGTAAGGGCGCGCGGCCGCGGTTGCCTGTTTGCGGTCGCGCGTGGGGTCACCGACCCGTCGACTGTCTGTTTTTTTTTAATACATGTTATTCAATATATTTTATTCCTGCGAACGCATTTTGCGATGTGATGTGTATTTTAGCAGTAATTATTATATTATAAGGAGTTTGACTGTTGTTTTTGACATACTTACAACTTAGGATACACGATGAACTGAAGATGAATGTATTGATCCCGACGACTCAATTACGGCTAAAAAGAAGCACCTTGTAATCGATAACATTTCCCGACTGTGTTCCTGCTTTAGTTTTTTGCTTTATTTTATTACATATTTCCCTTAAAAATACATTAGTGTGAAGTAGTTATTGTAAAGTTCAGGCTATCTGCAATGTTTAATTATTATCGATGTACTGTAACTAGACGTTTATTTTTTGTATTTCGACCGCATAGCATGTCCATACTGTTAGAGCTCTGACTTGTATCAACCTTGTATCAGTTTAATATGTGGAATAAATTTGCAAAACTGTGTTTGCCTTATTATCTTTTTGTTTCCTTTTTCAATAAACAAAAATAAATATTTAGTTGTAAAATAACTTCGCTAAAAAATGCCAGTTTAAGGTAGCTTTTTACTTTTGAGGGCTTATAGAAAAATAGCAAAGCTATTTACATATAAACACATCAAATATATCAAAGCAAAATAGGCTGCATGGCGTTGCAAAAACTGCATGCCTGTTAAGAGAACTATTCGCGGGCAAATAAAACGGATAGGTACGGTTAAAGTATTGTATTTTGACAAATCACACTGTGTCGGGAGGAACTGCAAGTCTGGCCGCGAGAGGTCTGGGCGGGGGCCTCGGTGGTGGAGGTGGGCCACGCGGTGTTCGCCGTCGCCGCCGCCAGCATACCCCCAAAGTGACCATCCCGCCGCCGGCGCACCCTGCCACCCACCATACACTGCTGCCGTTGCCACTCCCGTCCGCGGCGTGCGCACTCTCGCCTGTATACCAATTTCTTGCCCTTTCTTTTGTATCACTACCAACGACTACAAATGGACTACGTCTCGTCGTTAGGGCTGCCATACACGGAATGCTTAAAGCTGTGACTGCATACTAAACTATCGTAATGCACATTTTATAACTGTCCCGGGCGGTAACAGTACCTACTCTCTATATGGCGGGGTTCAATGCTTGTAAAATAATCAACCCTGAACGATACGCAGTTCATTTTGTTCTGAACGTGCATGTTGATACGTAATAATGATTATGGCGAAATGGATATTTGAACATCGTTGAAATGTTATAATGGTGTCGATTTGGTAATTTTTCATGTTCTGCATAATTACATATTAAATATTGAACATTTACCAATATAATACACATCGAATGGAGAAAAAATGTAACTTGGCCAACTATCGTACATATATAGTCATTATAACACAATTTATTTTAAGAACACGTTTATACCTTTTATTTAAGAACATGCAACATTTATATTATTCGGGATTTCAATAATGTAGAAGCTGGAAGAGGGAACAATGAACTTCAGTCTAAAGGCTAAATCTTTGGCGAGCTGAAGCACAAACTCCTAAGATTACTTAAAAATAAGGCGGTCTAGCTGGCAGGTTCTGCACAAACGTATTATGATCCTGCAAGCTAGACGTCGGTAACTGAAGGTAGTGAAGCTTCTGCAAGATGATTGATTACGGATCGCATCAGCCAAGCACATGGAAGCGAGGGTAGGAATGTGCGTGGCGAAAAGAGGGGGGGTGGTATATATAGACTCACGTGTGCAGCGCCCGGTCAGTGCGGGGCGGCGAGCACAAGCGAAAGGACGACGAGCACGGCGCGCGCCGCGGCCTGGCCCGACGCCGCAACGCCTACGCACACCGCCGTATCAGCCCAAAAGTACGCCGAAGCCACATTGTATTCATACATTCTCCATTGTAATTATTGTCTTTGACAGCTCCGAAATAAATCATATATGTAGTGCCTATCGTATATATCACGCGATTGTACCCCCTGACCACGACTGATGAAGCATTAAAAAGTGATTAAGTGCGAACCCTCAAAAGAATTTATTTAAGTCCCAAGACTATTAAATATTTTTGATGCGAAACAATTTTCACAAAATATGTATACAATATCCAATGTACTACGATAAAATGTTGTTATAGGTATTTACCGGACTACGGATGGTCGTAGTTTTTACAATTTACTTTTACAAACAAATGACAATAATCAATACATGGGCGTGAGCTGTCAAAAGATTTTGGAAGTGCAATGGATCACGTACAATGAACATCATCTTTCATATATGTTTAACATTCTATAACAAATTATAATTAATTATATCAAAAATGATGTATTGCATGAACAGCTGCGGTTGACTTCAAATCGTAACAACTATAGGCGAAATACTTGTATCCATTCAAACGAAGAGATAATTGAAAAACGACAAGAATTTCAAAACAGAAAAGATGCAAGTATTTCTTCGACGTACCCTGGGCTCCATAGTGCGATGACTCAATGCAAGCTTCGTCCCATCGGAATTTAGACAATTACAACATCAAACACACAACGTCTAATTGATATTTCTGAGTCATCACAGTATTACATGAGAGGAATAAAAATTCAGAGGTCTACAAAAGTTCAGCGAAACTTATGAATGTTTAAATGAAACTATGAGAACGTTGTTCATAAGGGCGTGGCTTGTCAGTATACAAATAAAAAGGTCCATATTATTGCAACAACGTCAATATATTGTACTAATTCATCAACAATAATTGATAATATTTCTAAATACCTAACAACTTCAAAATACATTGTTATCCTCTGAGACAAAGATTGCATTGAATCGTCAATACTGAGTAGAAGAAATATGTGAATATAACGTTAGTTAGTGTCAATTTAAGTAATTATTTAACAATCTACAGTTAGATACAGTAAATCCTAAAAATCGATTGAAGCAGAATTGAGCAGTCAGATACTGTTTTTGAGATAAGATTGTTTGAAAAAATTTAATTATCTGTAGAAGCCATTTCTCTTACAGCACTTTCTGCTTACTCCGATTTTGTGCTACATACGTTTAAACTTATATATATTATTTATTTATTGTTGTTTTCGTGATAGATATATAATTAGTTTTATTACGAGCAGAATACATTTACAATAATGTCTACATTACAAGTACAATAGTATTTGTTACTTGTTTAAATTATCCGACAACAAAGACATTCTGTGAAAATAAAAATCAAACTAAAATAAGGAAAAAAGAAATGACTGAATACATCGTCATATACTGGAATTATATGTAATTAAAACTTTCTTTCTTAATCCAAAGTCCAAGTATAATCAGATTTACAGTCATGGATATTTATAACGAAACTTTGGAACGCAATATACTATAATCTACTAATATGTATATTAAATATAAACTTAATACAGAGATCGGTTTTTATACTCTACCTAATATTAGCAACATTTAGATATAAATACAATAATACTCGAACGCCTTACGTGTCTTTATAGACACTATAATTTCCTAAAGATCTTTGCATAACGCAACTTTCTTCCAAAGTATTTGTGAATTGAAATTATATATGGCAATATTATTAGGTGTTGTAAACCCAATGCATCGCTCTGTAGCTACTGATGTATAGCTGCTTGGTAATTTAGCACAAATCTAAAACATGATATTTACATTAATTTACCTATAATTATGTCAGTGAAAGCTACAGGTGCTTAGAAGCTTAAGATCTTGCAAAGCGCTTGTGTTTTAGCATAAATGTGATTAGTTAATAGTGTGCGCTTCTGAGGGTAGTTTACAGTAAAGTGTTCTGGTTGAGTAGATTAGATCTTACAATTTGTAATCGTGACAAATGGCAAAAGGAAAATATTTACTACAACGTATGTAGCTTAAACAGCTTTTCGCAATATTTTGGAAATGAAATTCAGAAAGCAAGTTAGGCCTCATATGAAAAGGCTTAGTACTTTTTTATATAAAAAATGTGTAACATTTCTATGTGTTTGTGCGGGTATACTAACATCGTGGGCTTTTCTGCTGTCCTGCGCAGTGTGGTAGACCGGAGCAAAGCGCGCCTGGTGGTAGACACGCGCCCCCGCAAGCCTCCGGGCATTCTTCACCTACACCTACTGTAACCTCTGTCCAAATCGCCCGCCAACCCGCCGCACCTACAGACTTGTCCGCTATTATAAATCTGAAAAGGGATACCGAACCTTCTATTATGGCGCCGATTAGAAGTTATAAAAAAGTCCTAAGACCTCTTAATGCAAATCATATTGTAATTTGGACTAAAAGTTCAATGTTTAGTGGGCTGTATAGAGTAAAGAATTTAAATATCTCGTAGTATGAGTAGTTCGATCACCGCCACACTGAATATGAGTAAAAAGCAACACATGTAAACTTGCTTTACAGCAATCGCTCCAGCCCTCTAATTAACTAATATATTAGGGAAATTGCAATTCATAGAAGAAATCTTTCGAGGGCACGTGATCAGCTTGTGCGACGGATCTTAAGCTATTGCCTCAGCACCCCGCCTCGGGTAGCTGCCACGAACGCCGGCCGGTGTTTTTAGTAAATGCTGAGATCTACCCGCATTTAACATATTAAAGTGATGATCGAACATTAGCTATATACATACAAATGCATGAACAATCGAATGTAAAGACATACGATAATCTGATAGAATTTGACGACGAGAGGTATTGCCAACGGTCTCCGGGCGCTTTCTCCCCGCATAACTCTAGCGGAGGACCTGGACTCTCATACCACAGCCGCAGCACTGCTGCGGGACATCCACGCTCTGAAAAGTTGGACGAGATTTGGTTTGAATAAAATAAAACCTTACAAACCTTTTTTGGCTTATTTAATGCAAATAAGACAAGATTATTAATTTTCTACCTGTCAGATGACCTTCAACCGCAAAATGGTCAAAGTTAAGTAGCAACCTCCGTCCAGGCTTTGCAGTTATAAACCAGTTACACACCCTGGAAGCAGCACCGCGTGCAGGTGCCTCATAAGGCAAAGGGTACCGAGGAGATGAAACTATACCCCAAGGAGACCCAGAAACGTTTCCGCCGCAATCGCCGAATATTGATTTTGCTGGCTGCAAAATCAATAAATGATTTATTCGTGCAGGTAGTCGAGTATACACCTCGAATATACGTAAACGTCAATATAATTTATGATCAAATTGAGAAAAATTGAGGTTTATTTGAAGCTTGACTCGACGTTTCGCATGGCTTACAGTTACTGTAGTCACAAGGGGACTCTTGCGAGAACTACTTTGAAATACAATTAAAGAAATATTGAATGAAAACGACTTACCTGTAAGTAGGTAACTTACAAAAGATTAATAGTATAAAAGACATATACAATATTATAAGTTTGTAGAAGTTTAGGTTTTTTTAAGTCTGACCTCGAACACATATCTAGCTTTAAATCCAGATGCTACGGCTTCGTAGTCAGTATGTAATGCTATAAGTAGTCCCAGGGCTCCACGTGGCGACTGCAACGGTCCTGGGGTTGCAAGTCCACACCATCTCCCCAATGGCACACGGGTACCTTCGCGCCCCGTCCACCACGCTTCTACCCAGTCCTCGCTACAGGTTGCCCCTCTGAAACATTAATTTATATAAGTTTAATACATAAATGTTAAGGTTCAAGAAATTAGCTGAAGACGTATAAGATACGGTAGCTCTGCCCGTGTCATAATTTTTTCTCAATCTAAATATATAATGCCATCATGTGAAATACTATGTAATAAATATTAAGATGATTATTATAGTATATAATATTAAGATTATAGAAAAGATAAATCTTTTGAAAGATTTATCTTATCTATTTCAGGTTGGTTTTGTCTTTACGCAAAATAACTGCATAGACTTGTTAAAATATATTTTCATAACTTTCGATTGGAATCAATTAAATGAAAACTTAAAAAGTAATTTGAAATCATATAGGACTATTCAATATATATACATTGTGCTATTTATAAATGAATCTTTATGAAACTTATGGTTGAAAAGTTAGGGTAAAAAAGAAGGTAGATCAGTCCCCTAGGGCTATGACTAAATATTTACCCATACAATCCAGCGGTAGCATTCCAAGCATCAGCTCGAACTTTAAAGTGATCAAACACGACAGTAACTTGCTCGTTAGGTGTCGCTACGAGGGTGTAGGTACAGTTGGTGTGAGAGGGGTAGTTGGAAGGGTAGCGGGGCGAGTTAAATTCTCCTCTCTTCTTCGCCTCTGAACGGTATGTGAACGCACATTCGCCACCTGGTGCTGCAGTACCGGGAACTCGATACTCTAAAGCCAATACGTGAGATTTCAACCTCCAAAAGATGTACACAGTGGATCCTAAGTAAGTATTTCTTTATGAGCAGGACAGACAAGCATTACTTATTAAGTTCACTTGATGGTAGGTGAAATACCCCAGCTTATAGCATCTAAACAAGATGCGCCGTCGACCTATTTTGGCTTTGGATATTCTGAAATCCACAGACTGAAACCGAAACGTGATTAAACTCGACTTTTTCATCTGTGGACGGTGGTTCATTATCCGGGTGGAATTTAGATATTTCTACCAACCAATTAATATCCAGATTTCCAGACGAAGTCCAACATGTTTTAGAAAAAATATAAATTGATTAGAAAAAAGTTGGACCCACTGTGGACCAACCTACGACCCTTTGATTATTAGTCGTACATTGCTACCATTACACAAACGAGCTCGTCTCTTAACAAATTTTATATTAACATATTTTTTATAAACATTTGAGAAAAAAAAAATAGTTACCCGTCTCGAAAGTGTACTTCGCCTTAAACCCGCGACCTTGTAATTCTCCCGAGCTAAACACCAATACCAGCCTCGGTCCATCTGAGATGAGTTGTGGTGGGAAGGCTGGCGAATTCTCACCGTCTCCACAAAGCTCTGCATCGTGCTTATCATACGAGTCTGTGGCCTCCTGCCCACGAAGGTACACCTTCAAGTAGCCATCAGGACAAGTGCTGGAAAACGAATTTACCTTTCAGAAAAACAAGTGTTCGAAAATATTTGTATACATTTTCGATTGTATTTAAAATTCCCAATGAGCTATATAAGGTACTTTCCCACCATCAAACGGTTCTGGGATACCAACCAAGACTAAGACTTACTCCGGTTTCGGGTTTTCTCCTTTAGGTATAGAAAAATTCTGAAACTCGAGCCGAACCCTTTCCAGGTTCTGTGAGTCTTGCATACCGTATATAAAATATCTGCAAAGGGAATTGAGAATTAGGAATCCGTTGATATGCGCGGAAAAATGATTGCGTTAACCAAAACTCACCTACAAACAACTTTTTGTATATAAGGGAATGGATAATTTGGATGGTATACGAATCCCGACGATTCCTTTTTACTAAGAATTTTCTGATCACACTCCGAGCCTCTAATGTGCTCGGCGTCATGTTTGCTTATAAAATCTGAAACGATGAAATAATACGAGAGTGAACTGATAGCCCCGTGAAATAATTTCACATCTGTTTTACGACTTGAAGCAATACTAATCTTGTGTTTGTGTATTAATGGTATTTTACAAACAAAATATTATCAAGAATTAAGTATGGGAATGATTTATTTTTCAGTTATAGTCTGTTTATTGTTTCACTAAACTTTGTTTAATGGAAATTTACCTAGGTGCTGCAAATACTGTTTTTTTTCCTATAATCAAATGCTAGAAAAAAGTTGTAGTCTGTCACGTGGACAAACTCGGGGGCTTAGAAAACATTTTAAATTGTTAAGAAGTATGTATACTGAGTTAAAAAAGAAAGATCCCACTTACCTAACTTAACAAAACTTTCGGAAAACTCAAATATGCCCTTAAAGCCGCGGTTCTGGGTGTTGGCGGCGCGAGGCAAGGTGAAAAAGGTTACGAGCAGTCGCTCGTCGCTCGAGTAGAGCACCAGGTTGCGTTGCTGGCCGCAGTACGTGCCTATTATCGCTGATGTGTTGTCGGGCCCGTCGTATACGCGTACCCAGTCGAATGGGCAACTGAAATTTAAATCACTTTATACATCTGTAACATTACGTTATTTCTGAAGTATATTCAAATTTTGATAATAGGCTTTGAGTCCGATTAGAAACATATATAAAATTGGATTTTATTAATTTGAATCAAATAAGATTAAGTTAATACAGAATAAATTATTTTTAGACAAACTAGAACGACATTACTGTTTCATTGATGATGCATAATGCAGCTGCCGTAGTCACGTGACACTAACTCATGCAATTCCCGTTAAAAGCTACAGTCAGCACTTACTGAGGCCCTCCGAAAAAGAGATCGAAGTCGCGAAATTCTAGCCGGATGCGTTGTCCGGGCTGCCCGACGAACTGAAAGTTGCAAGTGATGTCTTTCGGGTAGATGCCGGGGTACGTCGGCGACAGCAGCAGCCCCTGCTTGCGCTTGCTCGCGTCGATCACGAACGAGCACAACGTGTTCGGCACGGGCGTTCCCACCTCGTACTCCGCTGAAGGACGAGCATTTTACTTTCAATCTCTGTCCCATAATGATGGTGGGTATGGCTTTAAGTTCTACTCCTATCATTGTTTTTCTACTTGATTTAACGTCATCCTCTGGAAACCTTTATACTCACTGGCGTTGATAAAGCGATAGATGCCGTAGAAGAGCGTTGGCGGCGTGTACGTAAGGTCTGTAAAGAAGGCGAGAGCCACCGCGCGGTGGAGCGAGACGCGGCGTCGTGGCGGGATGGGCCCGCAGTATCGGCCGCCGAACGCCGAGTTGACCAGCTCGCCCGTTTCCAGCGATGCCATCTCCGAGTATATATCCATGTATTCGTGCATGCATCTGCAATGCAACATCTTCATACTGCTGTCATGTTTTAAAGAATTTGTCATTCTAGAGAGATCCGCGCGAGAGATATGCGCGCGATTTCCAAGGAGTCCTACCTTTTATAGGCAATCAAATGTTTTTGTTGTTTAAATCTTTGTGTTATGATATATTTTGTCAAGTGTATACAATAACCATTTATATCTATATGTTTAATACAATAAACATTTATACATTACTTATATTACATATCCTATAAATGTGTAACTAAAATATCTCTCTCTCTCTCTCTATCTTTCATCACAATGAATAAAGTTGTATTATCTACAACTTGCTTTAATTAATTTTCCTATGCTTTTCGCGATTCATCCCACGAGAAAGACGATCTTTATTATCGCACGGATACAGAATAACAAATGACTAAAATTTCTGTGCCTATTCTAATCTACAAAGTATTACATAGGTTCATCTTCAGAAGGTAAACGTAATTTGAAAAACCGAAACAATCGAGTTTTAAAAATCGGAAGTTGCATTGATAAATATTTCAGCTTCAAGAACCATCTAAAACGAATATATAATCAATTGAAAAGTGTTCCTGAATTATTCAGTTCATTTTCAACTAGGTTATGTTACCAAAAATAGTGCGCCCCAATTTCTCTATATTGGTTCCGTGAAAGGTAAACATATTTGTCTTTCTTATTTTTGCTTGTAATGGCAAGGTATACTCACGCTGGAAGTTCTCCCAGTGCTGCTCCACTGTAACAAACAAGACCATTAGAACCGTAATTAGTTTTGATTCCGAAACGGTATTATTATCGAGTTGTATTTAACGAAGTAAATATTGCTTATTATTTTTTTATTCTAGCGAAACTTCTATTTATATAGCTATACATCCGGTTTTCGGGATAAATATTAAATCTAGTTTAGACATTTTTTTTATTAAAAATATATAAACTAGATTGAAAAATTTAAATTGATTTACTTTTATAAACCATACAAAAATATATGTATAAGACTTATAATTAAATTTAAAAATTAAGATTAGCATATTTAATAAAAACAGAAAAAAACTTATTACATCTTAATATTAACAGTGTATCATCCTTTAACATTTAAACGGTTTTGACAGACTCGTTGGTGTAATGGTAGCATTGTATGGTTAATAATCAACGAGTCGTGGTTTCGATCCTTACCGGTACCAACATTTTTCAAATTAATATATTTCTGAAACATATTGTACTTCGTCTGGAAATCTGGATATGAAATGGGTGGCAGGAATATCCAAATTCCGCCCGGGTCACGAGCCGAGAAGAAGAATTTTAATGACGTTTCTGTCTGTGGATTTCCGAACATCCAAAGCCAAACTAAGTCGACAGCATCTTGTTTAGATGTTAAATAGCTGGGGTATTTAATTTATCCTCATCTATCATAAAAAACAAACAACCATAGTTGGTCCATGAAAGAATGACGATGGGAGTGTTCTGAACTTACTCTGGCGGTTTCCCTCTCAGGTCGAAGGTGCGAAACTCGACGAGTACGCGTTGTCCCGGCGCCGCTAGGAACGTGTAAAGACACTGACGACTCTGGTTGTATGGATTGTGGAGTTCGGGTGCGGTGAATGTGCCGTTGCTCGTTCCGCCGCGACTCACGAATGTGCGGTCGCACTCTGGAGCAAGGAATACCGGAACATTAATATATGGTGTTAAGTTAATTTATGTATTTTACACATAACGTAGCGACTTGCCCGGTCTATATGTTTGACCTACGTGTTAACATATAGCTATAGTCAAAAAAAAATATTTTTATCCAAAATATAATATTCAAGTTTACAAATTTTGAAGAAACGATAATCTATAATTTGCTCTAAAAGCTTAAAAGTTGGACACAGTTAAATGAATAAATAATTTTTATTTATTATCAAGAGTGATTTTATTTATCACTTTTGTTCACCATTACATAATAATTAAAAAAACTATATATTGTTATATATAGTATATGAAAAAATATGGATCGAGTTCAACTAGCAGAGCTGGTTAAAGTCCGAGGAGAGTCTTCGTGTTCTTTTAAATGGCCAATAAAATCTTTTATCCTAACCGCTTCGAGCTCTCTAAAGGGATGTTATCAATATAAAATCACGTTAAAGCTATCTGACCGATCTCGTTCAATTTAAACCTTTTTTTCTTTCGTTCAATAAAACTTTATAAGGCTTCAAAAGATCCTTTGTTGAAGATCTTAAGTTGTTGGGAGTTTTTGTCAAGCCATTGGACTTTTTTATGTATAAAATCTGTTTGTGAGACATATGGCAGCCATATTTTTGTGTATTTCTACGATTGTTTTTATTTATAAGGCATTGATTGATCAACAGTTTCAGAGCAGGCGTGAGCCTAGCTAAACGAAAACAAAACTTTTGCTGTCCCGGGACCGGACTGTTTCTGGACCCGGTTTTTATGAAAAATTAGGATTTACACAAAAACACTTTAACGGTTTAAAACACGATATATTTGTTAAACTTATTTGAAAATTATTTTTAACTTCGGCCCTACGTTTCGGATGCTTTGCAGCAGCCGTCCTGGCAGAATTGACTAACGGTGTCTTCGCGTTTGCCGGTATGCTGTTAATTGGGATACAGAGCTTTTAATATGGGGTCCCAGGTGTTTGATAAACGGCCTCAAATTATCAAACACCTGGCTGCAAAGCATCCGAAACGTCGGGCCGGAGTTAAAAACAATTTTCAAATAAGTTTAACTAATATATCGCGTTTTAAACCGTTAAAGTGTTTTACTTAAATGTGTACTACTCGCGTAAACTATAGACAGTATTTAAATGGATTTTTACATGATGGCTTTATATACCTCTAGAATGAAAAAATAATCTATGACACGAACGGGAATCGACTTCAATACCTCGTTTCGTGCTCTTAATAATTGAGCTACGGTTTTAAAATTTTATGAACTGGGTTCATTTTATTATATATTCTTAAATTTTAACTATATCTGAATACAGTTACAGACTATACAGTATAGACAAGCCTCCAATAACGAGAATACAAAAAAACTTGCAAAATTCGCATGAATAAAAACTGTGTCCCGGATTACAAGGCTCTACGTCAAAAATGTATGCATATTACGACCGCAAATCCCTACAAACAAGTGCCAAGCAGGCCTTTTGTTTTACGCTTTTTGTGCACAAACTAAGATAAAACCAACCGACCAAGCTCAAATGCTTTTTTGATTCAGTTAAATATTCATTTATTTCAATTTGCGGTAAAAAATTTAAACTCGCTCCATCCTCCACTGTTTCGAAATAGGTCTGAGAATAATGCACTCGCTGTTTCAATGAGAAATATTTCTATGAAGCTGCTCGGTTAATGAACGAGTTTCTACCTACATTTCTTGATGACTGAATATCTTATGAAATACCTGGTGTTGTTCTTATTAAACCCTACGTTAGAAAACGTAATGGAAATGCATGAAGACGTTGAGTTAGAATTGTAGTGTGTATGACCACGACATAATTTCGACTTTCAAAACTTTAAGTCCCAATAATACCCAATAAACCCAGTATTATATCAATATGCTAAACTCAAAAATTCAACAAAACAACTGAGTGTTTAAAAATTATAATCGCGCGGCCCACCTATAAATACCATTCACTCGTAAATTCCATAAAATAGGTAGTGTTTAGACTAGAGATATTTATTAAACACACGTCAAACTACAAAAATAGCTCTCATCTGTACATAAGCTCTTTGTGGAGAAAAATGTTTACAGTTCGCTTACTTGGTGAGAATGAGAAAAAATTGCTCATCGCAGACGAAATATGCGCTTAGAGACTGCGAAGCCTCGTCACCGACATGTTTTTTGTTTACCAGACTACATACACTAAAGTCATGCTAAAAATCACTAGCTATGATGTTTGTTATATTAGTGCCGCTAATTTAGTGCGATGTCGTATTACTTAAAAAGAATTATATGTTAAAGAGGGAAATCTTAATGGGGATGTGGAAGCATTCTTTCGTGGGATCCAAACTCAGAACTTCTGACATTAAATACAATGCAATCGGAATGCAAGGAATAAAACGCTTTAACAGTCTAAAACGCGATATATATTAGTTATATAGCGTTTTAAAACGTTAAAGCGTTTGACGTATTTGAAATTATTTATTAATATCGGGTGCTTTGCAGCAGCCGCGGTCACGGGGAGACAAATCTTAAGCAATATTAGAACTCTGCCGTTAATGTAGAAACTGTTTCGCTAGCGCCATCTGTTCCGTCCAGGTTGGTATTAGGCGAATGTATATCGCGTTTTAAACCGTTAAAGTGTTTTATTTAAATTTGTACTCCTCGCGTAAACTACAGACAGATTTTATAATAATTAACACGACACCCTATAACATATTAGTGTAATATACGTTAACAGAGGATTTTCCAAAGCTATTTTCGCTTCGTTAACACGCCATTAAAACTTTTTCAGCCCTTCGTCATCCACCACGACGCAGCTTCATTACAGCGGATTTATTCAATACTTATAAGTAACTATATTTTTCAACAGAACGCCGTGTTTACGGTTTCGCTAAGTGGAAAGTTTGAAGCAAAGCATTAAAGTTGCCTTGGAAAATCATTTTCCTGCTAGTAAATTAGATTTTTCTTAATTAAAGCTGCTACAACTGGGAGCACTGTGCGTTGCTTCGTTTAAAAAAAAGGTGGAATATTGAAAATTTTTAAGTCTCGCTCACGGTGGATTCTAAAAAGTTTACTGTAATGACTGACACTCAAACGCAGTCAACATAATTGATCATAGACACCTGAAACTATTAGGGTGCTTTTGCTGGACGTTAATAAAAAAAATACAGATGTACCCCTCAAAGTTTCTATGAGACAACTATATTTATTGGTCTCATTTACTTAATATTTTGTATCCATATTGACAGTTGAAGAAGTATTAGTTTAATTATTTATATTATTAATGACATTTACGCCTTAGGAGACACGAGTAAAGCAGCGCGGCGCCCTAAGTTATTTATAAAGTAAGAAACTTTGTTATGTTGTATATTTCATTTATACAGATTAGCAATGGAAAAGTTTTCCAACACGGCGAGTAGAGTATCTACCTAGAGCTACAGTCGTGGCGGCCTCATTTAGTTCTGAACTCTGAAGCTAAATTCAAGCAGAATGGCCATCTATTATTTAATTAGCGCTATTATGGTAAATATAATATCTATTCTGAAGCTGAATTTGGATTCACAGTATCCTCAATATAATTTATAAAATGTGACAAACACCAAACATAAATATAGTTTTGCCCCAGATTAAAAACGTAATTCCAGCTGCCACTAGAGTCCATGCTTATAAATAACATAAATGATAGGTTCTGTATAGTTCGGTTTGAGTTCTTCCGGGTCGTATATTAAGTAAATAAAAAATATTAAAGTTAGACCAATAAACCAGTGCTACACATCTATTTGAATCTATTTCGTTTAAATAGATTTAAAAGCACATACTTGGAAATTTAGTAGGCGTGGGTTCGACTAGCGACGCCAAAGCGGTAGGTTCCGTAGCTGCCCCCGCGCGCACTGCACAGAAATAATTTCATTAAACTTAACTCCATTGCATTGTTAAAATATCAACTAGATTAGGATTATTGGAGGATTAAATAAAAGATTTAGAATACTATCGAAGCTATAAACTGTACTTAAATAGGGGTATTATTCGAAATAAAAACCCTAAGTAATTGTGTAAGACTTTCACGGCCATCGTTCAGCATATCATTGTTTTCCGGGCTGTTCGGCCGACGTAGGCGAGAAGAGGTTCTCGACGTTTCGCCGTCACGAGCGGACGTCATCATGCTGGAGATGTTAGCTCCTAGATTGCTCGGAGAACTATTATAATTCTTCGACCGAAATCTTCAGATCGAGATTTTATTTTTGTTTCGCAATTTAACGACAGTCTGTATTAACTTAGTTACATAAATACACCACAAATTATTATAAAAAAGCAAAATATGTTATAATCGCATATAATAGTTTAAAACTAAATTCAAGTAACGCCTTGAAACTGCGAATTCTTGAAGATTAATTAAAATATCACGCCATGTTCCCCCGTTAACTAAACTTCAAGTATCGAGGAATGTGCTACGAAACTTCACCCTACATATTTTATGTTCCTAAACGAATTATTATATCTTATTAACTGGGACAGTAAATTATGAAAATAATTTGTAAGTATGTTACAATACCTAAAAAAAATAAATAATCCCGTTTCCCCCTATAGGGCATGGAGGGAACACATTTCTATGTCTTTTTCCAGGGAGTAGTTGCTCAGACTTCTGCGCCCTGCGCGACCGAAACAATTTATTGTTTCCCTGGGACTCGAACCCAGGACCTCTCATGCTTAACGCAATTCTAGGCAACACGTTTATCCATCTGGCTGCAGAGGCAGTCACAATACCTTGGTTTATTTTATATTAAGTTATAATCGAAAGATAATTTAATTGGCTATTTCATATTTTTATTCAGGAAACACAACAAGAGGTACCAAGAGGAACCAGAAACAGGAGGTACCTAATGGCTATTGTATAATATTGACTTCCCACATCTCCTACTCACAATTTATCCTAGAAGATTTGCAAAGGACTGGAAAACTCGCAAGTGAGTTTTCCAATCTAAGAACTGTTATACAACTTTTGTTATCTTGAAACAACGTTTGGATTTAAACTTCTGAAGGTACAGTTTCAGGAATGCTTGTGAATACCGCATGTTAAATGGACAGACTATTAGGTAACATTTACAAATCATATTACCCAAACAATAGAGCAATTCCCAGAGGGTCTTTAAGAGATATACGACCCAGTTCTCTTATAAAAGAAATACGTTAACGAACATTTTGGATTCGGGGGATATATAAAAAAATATATTTTCTAATTTTACTATCATAAATAAAGACTTGAGCTATATTAGATAGTCTAAATTTTCTATTTAATTGTATTGATATTTGAAGAGGTAAAGATTTATTCATCATGCTAATATGTAAAGCTGAAGAGTTTGTTTGAATTAAAAAACTATTTTTAGGTTGGTTGGAAATGTGCAAAAAACGAGGAAGTTGATTTATTTTCGAGGGCTTCCATTACGTGCGCCGCCAAAACGGGCTAAGATATCCTAAAATATGTATAAAAGAATGATTCCTCATTGAATGATTTGAAAAAATGTCCGCGACACTATATGTCTATCTTTTAACATTAACTTGCAAAAACGGGTAACAATGATGAGGGAAGAGGTTTCTTTTCTATGCGGTCGGAAACGAGGTCGCTGGCACAGCTAGTTAAAATATAAGGCAACATAGGTATTAGGTATGTACTTCGAATTGCTATCCGAAACATTGACGTGAATACCTGAGGCTATCTACGGCGTAGCAGTGCTACGACAATTTAACAATTTGCATACATATTATATTTGTATAGATCGTTATGACCTTTAGCAATCATGCTAGCTAACGTTTTTTATTTGGTTATTGTAATTGAAAATGTTTTTTTACACTAAAAATAATTTTATATGCCACTTGCTTCTGCGTCTTTAAAAATCTCACCTTTCTCAATTACATTTTAAAATGTTTACTAAACTACAAATATATAATATTGTTGTCATCTTTATTTATATTGATTGATCGAAGGAGTATATACATTTTTATCAAGACGTTACACGATGTTCACTGTAAGCATCAAATCACATTAGTGCAGCAACATGGCCGGCGGAAGTGCCGCCATCTTGATTGTGCACAGGATATTGGAGGTGCGCGCGTGTGATTGCACAGATATTGCCTTCGCTTGTTTATCGATATCCAACACTCAATGTTGCAGACACAACGTAGAATAAGCATTGTTTGTTTTTTAATTACACATTGTTGGTATTTTCTGCTTTTATTGTTTCACACGGAAAATAGTTCATCCAATCGTCTCTTATAATTAAAACATAAAAACCTTTGTATTTGAATGAATACAGATGGTATCATCTGTACTTATTGTTTATAGTAATAAAGTAAGATTTTATTTTTAAATTAAAACAAATGAAATCTCGTTTCCTTTCGACCGAAACTTTTTATGTAGGAGGTGCTTTTAACAATTTACTAGATAAATTACGATTGAGTATATATGATATTATCGCCCCTCCTGAAACATTTTATAATTAATCCAAAGTAATTTATTTACAAAAAGTCATAAACATGTTTGCCCTACAGCATTTGAGTTTCGGTGTAATTATAAATTTCCCTCAGACGGTCGGCTCGAACCAATGAACGGGTAATTCGTTAGCTACTCGCTTTCATCGGAAAATTAATTTGCATACGTATCATCACTGTTCCCACAACATCAATTAATAGGTGGTTATTACATTTCCTTTCAGCTTTGATTTTCTGTCTGGTGAATTTCACCTGTTTTATTATCATAATAGTATTTTAATAACGAAATTAAATTAAATTATCTTACAGATTAAAGGTATATTGCTTGAAGATTTTTCAAGAAATAAACAAAATTTGTTTCTCTGAAAAATTTAAACTTTAATCTTGAGCATGCTCTTACAATTTACAACAACTTTCATTTATAGAAATAAATTATAAGCTTGTTTGAAAAATGAGAAGAAACGACAACGAATGTGAAATATTATTATTTCCCCAATTATATAATTTTTTATAACACAACCATTTTTTAAATAACTTTAGTTTTTTACGTCATCCGCCATTTGTGCACTCACAGCTTGTAAACGCGTGAAGATTTTGAATTTATGAATGTTAATGTCATTCATTACGTAGATACAAAAGTTTATTCCATTTTTGTATTTAAATGACATTATAAAACGAATTATATGATTATTAAAATAACATTAAACATACAGTTCTTAAAATATTAATCATATTTACTTGTATGTTCGATATCAACCACACAACAAATATGTCTACTTACATGTAAAGGAAATAACGTTTCCTGTCTTAATTCTAGGCCCACTTAATCCTATTAATTATTACGCGGCCCAAATGTTTCACACCATAATCTTCAAACATTACGCTAAAAGCTGCGGTACTGCGACGTAATATATTTTTCGAGCTCCACAATATACATATACATATAATATCAATGAATGTATTAAGACAGGAACACTTGATTATTTTGCTAATTTAACGTTAAAAGCATGTTTTTGGAAAATCAAATAATGTCAAAGTAATAGTTGTACTGTAGTGGTCCAGAAAATATTGATTACTTTTAACAGGGGCTTTACCTAAGGCAAATAGAGAACTTTTAAGGAGAAATATAATTAAACGGTGGGAATTTTTGAGTATACAGTAAGACGTATTACTCATCCATACACATTTTATTACAACTAACCTGTTTTCCTTAAGAAGATAACAGTTATCGAAAGCAGCGAAAAGTTTAAGCTACATAATAAATAACACGGAAATCAATGCTATACAAATTATATGTCGCTAAAGAAAGATCGCGTAAAAAGATTTTCCCGTCTTCTCTCTTGACCGCTTTCCTCGAAGATTACAAAAATATGTAACTACGCTCGGCGTCAAGTGTTTGCGTGAAAAATGTTTTTCCCGGCGCAAATAATTCAGGGACCGTCTCGTTGAGTGAGTGTGAAAGGCTTTTCTAGTAAGCGTTAGCAGTAAACAATGTTAGGCCGCGTTTTTTGCTATATTTTTTAATCCGCACGAGTCAGGAGAAGCTATAGATCGGAAGGTCCATAGACCAATACTAACACAATCTTTTTGAAGAGTTGTGTGTTCTAGTCGAGCGAATATGAAATATCCAAATAGCAAGAATGGACTTCGACACCCAAAGTCCGTAAGTTTTCGCTTTTTTTCTTGGTTTTTTTTTTTTTTTTTTAAAAAAAAATTTTTTTTTCCAAAAAAACCCCCCCCGGGGGGGGGGGAAAATTTTTTTTTTTTTTTTCCCCCACCCCCGGGGGTATAAAAAAAAAAAAAAAAAAAAAAAATTTTTTTTTTTTTTTTTTAGGTGAGTCTTTAAACTAATAACAACTTAATGTATTGAAATATTAATGCAAAAACATATCTAGTCATGACCTTAACAGAAGAGTCAATTGTGCTACGGAATGTGGAAAATTGTGAGGTTTTTTCATTCAACGAGATAAAGTTCTGTTTGTTTTCCCAACTGAGTTTTCTGAATGGAAAACACAGTTTCAGAATACGCACATATATGACTCACTCAGTCATCATTGCGTTCCTTTATTTTTAACTGATTTGTTTATTTAGATAAAACACTTTAACGGTTTAAAACGCGATATATATTAGTGAACTTATTTGAAAATTATTTTTAACTTTGGGCCGACGTTTCGGATACTTTGCAGCAGCCGAGGTCACGATCAAGTTAAAAATAATTTTCAAATAAGTTTAACTAATACATATCGCGTTTTAAACCGTTAAAGTGTTTTATTTAAATGTCTACTACTCGCGTAAACTACAGCCATATTTGATTTGTTTATGCTCACAGTTTTTTATCAACGTTTAGAAAATGTGAGAACAATCTAATATGAATATTATAATTCTACCGTAGATTTGTAGTTGTAGAAGTAAGATCAACACAAAGCGAACATTTAAGTTGTTCGCAGAAGTCCGTGGAACTCACCTAGAATGTAAATGGTGCTCAACGGAATATTACTGTGCATTTGAAACGGAGCTAAGAATAATTGAGGGCAAGAGTGAAAAGGTTGTGGGTCTTAAAGGAGTCAGCAGAAATAGATTTGCGCTGAATTTATTTGCTCCAAGGTTTGTTATTTCAATAGCGATGGACTAAAAAATCATTTATTCATGTAGGTACTCTTATGGACGTCTTAAAACTAGAGAATTTATTGGGTAAAAGAATTCATTTTCACCGTAACGCATTACATAATAATATGTACTCGTTACGGTGCTAGTCTGTCAACCTCTATCTAGCAATTCAAAACGCAGACACACAAAACTACTGTTTTGTGTGTCTGTACGTCTGACAGTACAGACTTCAAAAAAGGAGGTTCTTATTTAATTTGCACATTTTCTTGTTTATGATACAATGTTATATAATCCCTAATTCATTGTCATTATATAGGAAGGCTTATTTATTTATTTATTAACTTTACCACTTAATTGATTAACACACAATAAATTCTTATGTACTAGGTTATAACTAAAAGGCGGCCTTATCGCTAAAGAGCGATCTCTTCCAGGCAACCTGAAGTGAAGGGAAAAACAAAAAATAAAATAAAAGAACTAAAGGTAGGTGGTGCTAGAAAGGATCGTGATTAAGAAAGGCAATTAACAGCTGGAAAGATAAAATTTGGTAACTGAGACTTTAAAAGTACGGAGAGATTGAGCTTTTCTGATGTCTAAGGGAAGAGAGTTCCAGAGATTAATGGCTTTAATAGTGAAGGAGTTGTTAAAGAAGGAAGTCGCGCACGAATAAATAATAAAAGAATGAATCGAGCGAAGATTCAAATTATGTGAGCTTAAAGGAAGAAAGTTTTCTTTTAAATAGGCCGGGGATTTAGGGTCGAAAAGGATACGATAAAGGAGAACAAGAACATGAAGGTTCCGACAAGCTCTCGTCTCGTCTCGAAAACTTAACTGCCACGTTACGCAAAAGGCTCAGCAGAATATCAAATTCGGCAGTGCAAAATGCGTTACTGAAGTCAAGAAGAGTCAAAATGGTGACTTGCTGACGGTCCATGCTGCGCCGCACATCTTCTGTGCTTATTATTAGGCATTCTCATAATGTATTTGTTTATTACTTGTGTTAGGTTTTGTCGCCACATTTTTTAGACAGCATAAATGTGCCAATGTTGTAAATGTTAAAAGCCTCTAGAGGTCCATTTTGTTTGATGAAATGAGAAGACCGAATGAAAGCGACAGTTACGCGAGATATATGACAGATATTAATGAGTTTCTGAATAAGTTTACGTGGGCGGAATAGGATTAGGTCTGATTAATATGAGTAGGGCATTCGTTTATAAGTTTAATTGCTGCAAGCGAAAGTGTGTTAAAAACTCCATAACGCAGCCATAGATATTATTAGCTGTGTCAGCGACTTCGTCAACGTAGAATAGTTATTTTAGGCATCCAAATTTGTTTTAGCAGACCTCCTCCTTATCTTTATAAATTTAAGCTGTTGCTCGTGGTGGCGGTCGCATTTCGTCGTTCTTGGAAGTTAATCTTAAAAGATAGACATATAGTGTTTTTGACATTTTTTTAGGTATTTTAAAGAGGAATCATTCTTTCCTACATATTTTTTGGATATCTTGAACCGTCCTCGCAGCGCATACCAGCAAGATGAGTAATTTTCCACGTTTTTCCACATTTCCCCGCTGTTTTGTCGCTTCTATTAGTAATAGCGCGATGTTTAATAGCATATAGCCTTCCTCGATAAATGTGCTAACCTTCCTTCTTCTTGAAATTAGCGCACTCAAACAAACAAACGAACTCTTCAGCGTTATATATTAGTATAGATAGATATATATATATATATATATATATATATATATATATATATAGGTATAAATAAGTTTTTATCCTAAAATCCTATGAGCAAATAAATAATTATCATGAAATCATCCATTAATCTCTTATATCATCTTATCATTCGAAGACAGTATCAAAAATATTGAACTTCAATTATTAACCTCGTGTAAACAGAACTCTAAATGAAGGTAATAAATTAATTAATCAATAGGTTTTTCCGCTAACTCCTGCACGGCTGAGACCGATCGACGCGATTAATTGCCCACAATAAATTCATTGAGGCTCAATTAAAACACCAATAAAGCCCAATGAATACGTGACGATCGATGTTTGTACAACAGCTTCAATTTCCTTCGTTGTCCTCGAGCGGGGAAAGCCGTGGGTGTAACGTGCACTGAATCACAATTTGTTTATTTCGTTATTGAAGGGACAGATTTTATCGATTGGTTTTCTAAATGTTCCAATAATGTAGGAATTAAATACTAAGTTAAACTTATTCATTGCCTATCAAGTTGTTAAATTAATAAATAATCTGCTCAAATAAAACACTTTAACGGCTTAAAACGCGATATATTAGTAAAACTTATTTGAAAATGATTTTTAACTTCGGCCCGACGTTACGAATGCTTTGCAGCTGCCGTGGTCACGAGGACTCATGTATCAAGTGTTTTATTTAAATACGATAATCATGTTAGAAATAATATTTAGCATTATTTAAAAATCGAAAATAAATTGAAAAAAAATTTCGACTCGGGCAGGGCTTGAACCGGCATCGTCAGCGTACCGTGCTGTTGCTCTACCAATTGAGCTACCGAGTCCTACACCTCATCGTCGAATTTTTCAACTTATTGATACATGCACCTCTGGCGCATTTGTTTTAAATTGTATAGTGCCTCCATGTGCAATAACATGTAAAAAATAATAATAAACTTTTCAAATGAGCATTGGTAAAATAAGTCTATCATATTCGATTTATCGTGTTTTTGTTGACAATAAGTCTTAATCAACTGATTTTGCATTTCAACTGTTTTTCTTTATCTATAATCTGTTGCTTATTTTATATTCGTGCTATATTTTGTAATCAGATAGAACTCCTTATTCTATAACACACTTTTTTATAATAAACTATACCGAATATAGGTATGTAGGGCAGAAGCAAAAGTACGACGAGTCACGCACAGGTGTGACAAGTCACAAAACTTTCCTCATATCAGGGACCCACTTCAAACATATTTAATTTAATATTCGTCGAGAATTTCAAAACTTTGCTCGGCTTCACACCGAACTTTCCACGTAGGGATGTATTGTGTAAGCCAGCCTCTAAAATGTCTTTGATGATAGCGAAATGCTTTCAAAGCGTTCCTGAAACAGCGGAGTTTTTAAGGACCACGCTCTAATTAGGTTTAATTAATGCGCCACCACATTGGAGTATCACGTTTGACTTTGCCAATTGTACGTAGTGCATGCATAGTTTTACAGATTTCGTCTATTGAATGCAAAATCTATACTAATGTATAAAGCTGAAGAGTTTGTTTGTTTGTATGAACGCGCTAATTTCAGTAACTACGTGTTCGAATTGAAAATAATCTTTTTGTGTGGGTTTTCATCATCATTTATAGAGGAAGGCTATATGGTATAAAACATCGCCCTGTGACTAATACATGTGAAGATACATCGAGAAATATAAAAGAATTGGGATCATTGGGGGGTTTCCGAGGCGTACGCTAAAATATTAGTATTAAAGAATGATTCCTCTTTAAATGATCTAAAAAAAAAGTCCACGACGCTATATGTCTATCTCTTAAGATGAACCTCGCAAGAACGACGGAAACCGAACGACGGAACGGGACCGATGGCATAGGTTAGGACAGTTTGCAAAAACAATTTTGGATACCCAAAATAACGATTCTTCACGGACGAAGTTGCTGAATCAGCTAGCTGCATATATATTATGAGGAATGGGTTTTTAAAAATGTAATCGATTAGAGGAAATATATAGAAATGTGTTTGTTTATCCCATTAGTTTTACTTACCTGCTACTGAAAACTTTTCACATGTTATTGCACAATTGAAAAAATGTACGACAGAGTAAAAGCACTGGACGCTATGCATGCCGGTCCCAGTCCTGCCAGAGTCGTACTTTTTTTTAAATTTATAATCGATCTAACATGCCTACTATTGCTAAATTAATATTTAGAGATAGAGATTTTTGTAAAAATGGCTGCCTATAGCCATTTTTAAGAGGGTTTTATGGGGTTTGGGACGCATTACGAATACAGGGTAATAGCCAATTGAGTTAACAAATAACAGAAGCAGCAGGTTTAGCGATGGAGTAAAGTGGCGGCGTGTCACGTTTCCAGTATTGGTATAACAATTTCAATTGTAGCGAACAAACATGAACAACAAACATTGGGACAGAATAACTATGTACGACGCTTCTGAACATTCCACTCGATATTAACTTTGTTACGAATGTGGAGTACCTGTGCGATGGTATTGCTATATATTCTAAATTCAACACAATTTTTGTACAAAAATTGAAGGGCCTTTTTTCGTATCGCTTCCTTTTACAAAGTCCTTAAAGGTGCTGCAAAGCTAACTTGAAAAATTATGTAAATAATGGCGTGAATATATAAATATAGTTTATTCGTATATATCTGTTGATTGCAAATTACTATTATTATCTAAATAGGTAGGTACTTCACTACTTTATTTTGTAAGTTTGTCTTACCAAATAATCATAATTATAATAATGTAAAAATGGAAGTCCTAAATTTAACATGAATTATAAGTTCTTTTGTCGATGGTTTTGGGTCAAAAAACTTTTATAAAACATTTGAAAATCTTAGCCAGCTGGAAGTATATAACATTCGATATTAACCATCGTTAGTTACAATAAATTTCTCAACTTCTAGAGTAAATAAAAAAATGAACTTAGAAGACACCTATAAATGAAATTACCAGTAAAATATCAAACATTTACTGTCTCACAGCCGAGTTGGGTTTCAATTTGCGACGCGACTCGAGTTAGCTCAGTAAATCTCAGCTAGTCGTTCCCATGTTCCTATTGAAAGTATTAAACTCCAGATTTCTCGAGGAGAAACATTGGATTTCCTTTGACGACATAGAGAGGCTAGCTTGTTTTGATTTTATAGTTCGGACATTGATTTTGCTATTAAAAAGTACCTTCTGGTTGTAGTGAATTAAAGTGTTTTAACAATATAGTGAAGTCGTATTTATTTGAGAGTCAATTGGCTAAAGTTGCAAATGCATCGAATTAAAATATATAAAATGTAATTTAAAAATCGAAAAAAAGGAACAAATAAAAAAATTTCGACTTGGGCAGGACTTGAACCGGCATCGCCAGCGTTCCGTGCTGTTGCTCTACACTACACACAAAAAAAAACAATTTATTTTCGATTTTTAAATTATATAGTACCTTCATGTGCAATAACATTTGTGTTAACATTAAAATAATAAAGTTTTTTACAAAAATGTGTTTACAAAAAAAAAAAAGTTACTCTTCCAACATAATTGCATACTTTCTCTTAGGCTTTTTTTATCTATTAAAGGGTACCTTTTTTACCAACACGACATTTTGATATATCTACGTCTTGAATAATCAGAACATTTAGGGATAATTTAATTGTGTTTGGCGTAGAAAAATCAAAAATAGGTTTACAGTATTATGGACTGGGTAGACAACAAATCGACGTCCCACCACGCTATATTTTGCTTTCACCAACGAATCGACAAAGGTTGCGATGACGAAATGGTGTTTGCTACCCCTGAATTATTGTTAAATGCTGCTTTTAAAGTATCGCTCATAACTATTCAAATTTCCATCATTAAAAGCAACCACATTGATCTCCAACACAAAGCTGGCCGCTAAACCAGGTCCGCAGCCAAGGGCATCCATTGTCGATTGCCTTTTGTTTTTCACACAAGCTCGCGTAGGCTGATAATGGGTCAACTGTGTAGGTTGGGTCAGGTTCAGCACTGAAGCAGATATAACGTAATCGCAAGAATTACATAAAACCTGAACTACCCTCGAAGCTCAACTTTTCAAGCAAGACCCACCAACACAGGACTATTTCGAGGTATTAATGACTTCAAATACATAACGAATTTTTTGCTTTGGCTCCAAAATTGTGCGGCAGGGCTATGAATTTACGAAACAAGTAAACTTATTCGGGCGAAATATCTCCGTTCGAGCGAGACGAGCACATTATTAATCTGAAAATTTCCATAATCGCTTACCTGCCATAAGTTTAAGTATCATTTTATCGTCGTGTTGCTCCTTTAGATTTTCGCCTGTCCGTAATAAAGTATGTCTAGAATGTGGGTCAATGAAAAAGATCTCAGTGAAGTCGAGAGGCATTGAAGCATTGTACCGCAAACTCGTTTTGTTTAGTGCTCGACGCGAGGGCACCCTTCGTCAAAGGAACGTGGGTGATCGGAGATTAGAATGGAGATCGTGTTAATTTTAATGGCAGTTCGCTGAGAGCGAGGTTTCATTTATTCCGTAAGCTATCTTTTCGCGAGTACATATTTAAATAAAACACTTTAACGGTTTAAAACGCGATATATATTAGTTAAGCTAATTTGAACTGCGTGACTCGTGAGAGGGCCCCTAACAGAATCATTGGAAATAACTTGAATTTAAGAGCAGTTTTTGTTCTGTTATTTTTAATGAAAAGATAGCTTTGAAATAAAACGAAACGTCGGGCTGTAGTTAAAATAATTTTCAAATAAGTTTAGCTAAAATATATCGTGTTTTAAACCGTTAAAGTGTTTTATTTAAAAGCTATCTTATCATTAAAAATTACTCAGAAACAAAACTGCCCTTAAATTCGAGCTCTCTCAAATGATTCTCTTATCTGACGAGTCACGCAGCAGGATAAGTGCCACCTTGGACTGAAATATTTCAACAGGACTGACTCATTAATGTTTTAATTACATAGAGCGGCCTTGCAACAATTTTGATAAGCGGGAATTCGCTTAAATTTATTAATAAATTTCACGGGAACGCGTAAATAAAAATGTATTTTATTTAGGCGGAATATTAATTGTATATGTACGTAATAAAACTAAATAACATTAAATCCATTTTTAGTTTTTTTATAACGTCTTTTTACTTCTGTTCCTTGATACATTCAGCTTATAAAAACTTTATGGTGGGTTGGAAAACTTTAATATTTTTCAAGTGTTATTGCATATGTAAATAAAAAATCGATTATAAATAAAAAATTTACGAGTTACTCTAACCAATTAAGCTACCGAGAGCAACAATACGGTAAGCTATGGGGGTTCCAGTCCTGCCCGAATCGTTTTTTTTTTTTCAATTTATATTCTTTTTTTTTGTATTAATGTATTAAAAATCTGACTGAAAGATTTAAATAATACACTTCAACGGTTTAAAACGCGATATATTAGTTAAACTTATTTGGAAATGATTTTTAACTTCGGCCCGACGTTTCGGATGCTTTGCAGCAGCCGTGGTCACGGGGATTAACTAAAATATCGCGTTTTAAACCGTTAAAGTGTTTTATTTAAATGTGTACTACTCGCGTAAACTATAGACAGTATTTGACTGAAAGATGTTAATCTGTTGACCTCATAGTGTAACGTTGATGATGAGCCCCATTGATATTCAAATGAATTCACACAGCACTTGAAACTTGTAGTGAGAGATCCCTCACGCTTGATAAGTATTGATTTCTAGTTGAGTATCACTTCAAAACAAATGTACTCCTGATCGAATAAAATAAAACTCTCATTTGCCAATGACACACATTTTTTAGTATCTGTCTATACTAATATATTAAGCTGAAGAGTTAGTTTGAAGGCCCTACTGGTTCGAATTGCAAATTTCGTTTGTAGGTTAGAGCATTTATCGAGGATAAAATTGGATAGGATAGGATCGAGTTGTTACTAATAAGAGCAAAAAAACAGCGGAAAATGTGGAAAAAACGGAGAAAATTGTTCAACTTTCATGGCTGTCCGATGCGAACGCTGCGTAAAAGGTTAAAAACGCCCAAAAAAAGAAAAACCAAGGGAAAAAAAAATTTTTTTTTTTTTTAAAAAAAAATGCGGGGGGGGGGGGGGGGGGCCCCCCCCCCGGGGTTTCACACCTTTTTTTTTTTTTTTTTTTTTTTTTTTTTTTTTTTTTTTTTTTTTTTTTTTTTTTTTTTTTTTTTTTTTTTTTTTTTCCCCCCCCCCCCCCCCCCCCCTTTTTTTTTTTTTTTTTTTTTTTTTTTTTTTTTTTTTTTTTTTTTTTTTTTTTTGTTGGGGTTTTTTTTTTTTTTTTTCTTTTTTTTTTTTTTTTTTTTTTTTCCCCCCTTTTTTTTTTTTTTTTTTTTGAAATTATGCCTCCTGTCTAAAGTTTACGCGAGTAGTACACATTTAAATACAACGCGATATATTAATCTCAGTCTCCCCGTGACCACGGCTGCTGCAAAGCATCCGAAACGTCGGGCCGAAGTTAAAAATAATTTCCAAATAAATTTAACTAATATATCGCGTTTTAAACCGTTAAAGTGTTTTATTTAAATTATTGTCTTTATAAAGAGATTTATCATCAACATTTCCAAAGCTTTCATAGCTGTAAAAAGTGGTAATAGTAAGGTCACACACGAGCCCTTTTTCTCACGTAGATTTTGTTGATGGATGAGGTAAAAGAACGCTTGGTAAAAGGATAGATGATGGATTTGCCTAAAAGCCTTTTATGTATGATATTATAATAACTCAATGATATTTTTTTGTGAAATCACACGGTTATAAATTTTGCAAAGTAATTTTTTATTTGATATTGCAGTGGAAATCGACAATACTGTCGTGGAATTTCAATTTAGCTACACGATTTGACATACTTAATCTTGCTCTTTTCGCATTATTAAACTCAGTATCAGTTATGCCTATCATTTTCGCATTATTAAAATACTTTTTATTTTATTTATAGAGACCACAGCATAATACGCAACCTCCTTCCTAGATCACGCCACTATTCCTGCCCTCATAAAGAGTACTCTAGCCATTCTAAAAAACGCTGCAAACAGGGAGCAATCGGGAACAAATCGATAAACACTCGATGACTGAGGGTCTAAGGGCGCTCAGCGATATACGATAATCGTTCGACGCACTCCACTCGTCTAAACCAAGCCATTCTCAGCCAAACCACTTCACCCAAAACCTGCTGGTACTTAATTTACAAGCTTTAACAATGCATTGTTCCTGTCTATTGATCGAACAGTAATATTAATATTTTTATGTTACAACACAGTAATATTTCCATTTTACTGTCACAACACTTAACTTGCATGTTTGATGATATGATAATTATAACAAAATTCACAGAAAAATAATTTAAAAAAAACATCAATCCAAAAGCCGAAGTTAAAGAAAATAAACAAGGACCGAAAATGTTTGGTACCATATCCTGATCCTAATATATACTATTACTAACATAGTACGAGACAATTTACGACACGGGCAGGAATTGAACTAGCATCCACAGCGTTCCGTGCTGTTGCTTTAACCAATTAAGCTACCGTTTTTTTCAATACATAATTGATTTTTAATTTAAAATATAGTGCCATCAAGTTCAATAACAGAATTGCTAAGTTTTATTATTTACATACCTCTCTGCCGCTATGAGCCAGTTTTGGCCTCCATGTTCTGTCCTACTACGATGATCAGTATAATGAACACGAGCAGCAACACAAGTATGCAGCAGATGGCGACCGCGAGCATCGCAGCGTGTTCGCCCAGCTTGGCGGCGCCCCTCGCGGCGCAGAAGCGCGCCGCGGTTAGCGTCGCCTTAAATACCCGCGCGCTTATCGTGCAGTGTGCACCCTTATTCACACTTCAGTACGTTCATTATGCCAATGTAACAAACTTTATTCCCGAGTTCTTCAAAAAACACTAGCACAAAAGACATTCAAAATATTTTATTACGTTATTGTAGGCCTTTAATCAGTCTTCGGGTCCACTTTCGGGTTCACTCATTTATTGTCGCTACTAAATTTCGTTAGTTTTGAGTACATTGCAACAAGTTTAAAACTTACTTATTGATAGCAGAAACAGTATAAAAAAACTTACGAGCCAAAATATAGATTAGTGACCTCGATAACAAAGAAAATAATAAATAATTTCCCCCAAAACTCGTATACTTATCCGCTAGAGGCCCTATTCAGCGGCCGGTTTCAATTAAAACGACAGACCAACAAAAAAACCGAGAATGATGCTGAATATTATGCTTGAATATTCATTCGTGATTTCGTCTCAATTCGCGAGGAGAAAATATTTTTCAGTGCTTTATTAAACGAAGTGCTTCTTTTAAAGAATATTTTAAATGCGGTTATCAATAGAATTTAAATGTATACTATAATAAAGTTGAGCTAGTAAACTTATAAGAATTTATATGAGATATTAATAGAAAGCAGAATAGTGTGCTGCGAAAATTTTAAGGGACATTTTTTCAGTTGAATTATAGATAATTTTTACTCATTCTATACAATAGAAAATTCGGTAATAAACAAATGTCAGAGTTGCAAGTAACATTTTTCCTTAATCTACTCAAAATGTATTATAGTAACCAACTTGCAATAAGAGCTATCATTTAACATTTGTATTTTCGAGAATAATTCTCCTACCGATAGAAGATATTTGACTTGACTAATTGGACGAAACATTTTTATATTCAAGTAAAAAAGTAGACACGCAATTTGAAATGCTTTCCAGGGTGAATTACTAAGATTCCATTTTCCTCATTCACGCTTCAAGAAATTTGAATGTTAAGTTGGAATACTCTTCAACGATTTATGTTAATGTCTTTCGTTAGGGCTTGGGTTGACTATTGATTGTGGTCGGTAACGAGGTACTGACCGGCTATTTTTCGAACTTTCATACAAGCCCACGGCAAAATAACGACGTAAACTTTCTAATCCCTTAAATATTTAAGTTTAAATAAGCTTATTATTGTATTGTTATTAGATAAAGATTAAATTCTACAAATATTTAAATAAAGCACTTTAACGGTTTAAAACGCGATATATATTAGTTAGACTTATCATAACCCCCGTGACCACGGCTGCTGCTAAGCATCCGGAACGTAGGGCCGTAGTTAAAATAATTTCAAATTAGTTTAAGTATATATATCGCGTTTTATACCGTTAAAGTGTTTTATTTAAATGTGTACTACTCGTGTAAACAGACAGTATTCTACAAAGAATTATAATTGACAAGAACAAAATTTAATCTAGTGATAAAATTAATTCTACGACTTCTTAACTACTGTTTTATAAATTAAATTAGTAAACTATTATCCAACACTGTAATAGATAGGGACAACGAAGATCTGATAAGAAATACTAGATCTCCAGATATCTTTCCTATTTAATGAAATAGAAATTCGATTAGACCATTGTGAAGGAACAACTTTGTTAAACATTTGTAGTGTTATCTAACGCACAAATGAGTGATAAATGAATGTGATTGAATGGCAGCAATCCGTTCATTCGTCATTCGTCTCGAATCGATCACCTTCACTCACTGGCCGGGTTGTGACTCTCGGGTTATCTATGAATGTGTCTCGATTTCCACATTAATCGTTCGTTAGTCGGGAACATGTACTTACTGTGGATTGCTCTAAGAGTTATGGTGTTATAATAGTTTAGTTTAGTTTATGAACCCTTCCTTCAAATATAAAACAATAAGCTTTACGATTTGACACGAATGATATAACATACAACTTTTTTACATATTATATTGCGCATCGTAGTTTTATATACATTTAAATTAGATAACTAACGTTCAAATATTACGTTCTTTTACAAAACTCAATTAAATTCTGAATAATAAATGAAACACTCATAGTGTGTACTTTGAGTTGTATCTTTTATTTAATCTAAAAAGCTAAACGCCAACCGTAAGTGTAGTACATTTTATAAATTTTGAACTATAATATTACACAGGTTCGTTTCGCTAATGGACCAATACTGAACTAAAACGTTCCATTTAGATAATGGAAGGTCATACAAATATATTATCATACAGGTGTTTTTGAAACTATTTGATATTTTTAATAAAGAACACGAGAACGTTAAATGTTATTGGAAAAAAATGATTCCACTGAATGTTTATAATGTTATGTTAATGTTATTAAATAACTACTTATAAAATATGTGAGTAGGGTAGACACGTTATTGTATCTATTTCAACGATCGATTGCCATAAGCAGAAGTCCTATATTTAATTACACTTCTATATTCTTGGCCAACGTGCATATTTTGCCCGACCGAATTCTTTATATTACCCCGGAATTAGTGACAAGCTATCTAACTTAACGCTTATCAATTAACCACTTTAAAAAATTGTAATACCCTATCGTCCAATTACAAAGAAGTACAATGTGTACAATTGTTTTACTACAAAAAGAATAAAGTATAAGCCATCAGACTGGCAAAACAACGGTAAACAAAACGGCGATCTGATCAAATAATTAAACCGTCTATTTTTAAATGAATACGCAATAAGATATTTTTAAAGAGTATGAAATAAACAGACACAACCGCAAACATCGCCCACCGCACCTCTTTACAATATTAAAAAACACGAGAGAAATTCATTACTTTGAATTCTGAGCCGCTTGCATCGAGTAATTAATATTTCGCTCTTTTAAATTATTAATTCTAGGTCTCGTTTCTCGTTTAACAATAGATATGAACGACAAAAACATTTAACAATTTTTAATCTTGTGTCATGCACATAAAAATTGGTCAAGTAATTAATAATAATAATGGCTCATCAGGAATTGTTGTAAGATCCTAAGTTCTAATTTAATTAGTATTAAGTTCAAATTGAAGTTATAAAAGTAGTCATTGAACTATATTATCTCAGACGACTTACATATAAGGCTCGGTGTTTTGCTCTTAGAACGAAGGGAGGTCCCAGATTCGAATTGCGGGATAAGTTAAATATTAGTAGAGGCAGAAACTAAAATCTTGTAATTTCCCTGTAGGGGGACTGGTTTTATTTTGTACGTCTTATTTGGTCTACAGTGAAAATCTGAAATATTTGTCCGAATTGAGATGCGAAGCAAGGGGTGAATTTAGAAATCTTTGAAAAGAAAATGTAAAAGTGTCGACAATATAATAGGACATATTTCCTGCCATAAAAACAACGGCACGAAAGACGTTCCCATGTTGTCATTTACAATTTGTATCTTGTTGAATATTTCATGGATTTTCTCCAAAGGAAATAAAGAATTACGAGCCGTGTAAACCTTTTTATGTCTTTCATTCCTAGCTCTCCGATGAAAATTATATAACGCAGTGTATACAAATTACTCGAGGAAATATTATCTTAATATCATTATTATTCAAGTATTTACAGTAACCACGCTATTACGAGACCCCGAAGTTGACACGGGTTGACGCGTCGGAAAACTGATTTAGGTTCTTGCAGAAATTAAATTAAAATAACAACTTTTAAGTGCTCCATCGGACATCCATCATCCAGACATCGATTTAATGATGTCAAATATTGTATACAGACGAAGAAAATTATGGTAAAAAATATTAGTGACAAAAGTATCTACGAGTGCGATATGTCAACAACATCGAAAGATAAAACGTAAAATTTTACATTTGTCAGAAAAATTCAGAACTCTCTCGTCAGATAAGAAATTTTCTCGAAAATATAATTCCCCAGAACGCAACCCGCCTTCGAGATATGAAGCTTAAAGATAAAGGCTGAATTCCAGTTACCTTCGGTTTAAAGAATTTTGTAAAAGCATATTTCGTAAAATGTTTCTTGGTGCCCCGCTGGTCTAAGAGAGGGTCGAATTATTTATTAACGAAAAGCTGAAAGTGAAAGAGGGCATTTATCGCTATTCAGTTGTTTTAAATCTTAAGTGAAAATTATTATTGACAAAAACTTATTGTATATGGAATTATCAAAAGTATTGTTTGAAGAGATGTTAAAATTAAGAACGCTTCTTGATTTTTTTTATGATAGAAGAGGACAGACAACTATGGAGTCACTTATAGGTAGGTGATATATCCCAGCCTATAGCATCTAAACAAGATGCGCTGTCAACCTGTATTTTGGTTTTGGATATTCGGAAATCCACAGACTGTAACGGAAACATGATTAAGCTACGCCTTTTTTATCTGTGGCCGGTGGTTCGTTCCGGAATTTCAATATTCCTACCCACTTAATTTCCAGATTTCATGATTAACGTATTTAAAGATTTAATGACGGTGAAATGGTTGTAATAAAGTAGTAATTAACCGAATTACGGTTTCGTATAGCTTTTGAAATCAATTACCATACACTCGACAAAGAGTGCATCGTCAGATTATCTTTTTCATTCGGATTTAATTGGCTTAACGATCATTACAGTAAATTAACTTCGAGTTTCATTGACATTATATGTTAACAAGTAATCTGTTATTGTAATTTTAACAAGTAATCTGCTTGTAATTTTATGAAAGCCCGCGTAGAATAGTTATTGTGGGCATAAAATTTTTTATTTTTGCAAACGATTTCTAAGCTTTAACATTATAATTGTTGCATACGATATCGTCCGCATCCAGTAGTTCTTAAGTTAACCTTAAAAGAAAGATATATATATATTGTGGCAAACCATTTTTAAATAATTTAAAGAAGAATTATTCTGTTATTGCAGCGGACGCAATGTAAGCTATGCTATGATTTTATATAAAATTTCCCCCGTTTTTTTTTTCATATTCATTTTTTCCGTTTCTTTGCTTCTATTGGTCGCAGCCCGATGTTTTTTTCGTTCAAAGCCTTTTATCGATATATGTTCTATCCCAAAAGATTCAAGGCCTTAGTTCCTAAGGTAATCGGTTTCAAACAAACTCTTTAAGTTCAAATGTTTGTGTTCAAATCAAGTTTAAAGAA